TCTCGCGCCCCGCCTTCGTTCTCTCTCCATTTACTCCCGCGGGATCGATAAAACAGCCGAGATAAGGAAAACGCTCGCTTTTAGTTTCTGAAATTCCTGGAGAGAAAAAAAATTAACGATGTCATTTGCATAGAACGAAATGCATAGCGTTGGTTTAAAAAAAAAAAAATAACGCGGTTATAGCGAAACATATAGATCGTAAAAGTCGACGGAAACACAAAACACTCGTCGTTTTCCTACACGGTTTCACATTGTCGAAATTCGCCGGACGATCACAGAGTTAATTCATTGTTTTTCTCTCACCGAATGCGCGTAATTTGCCGCACCTATATCACCGCGGTTAATTATTATTAATTTTATCAATGATACAAGTATAGTGAAATAGAGCATGCGCCACTCAACAAGGGGCTCCGAAGTACATTTCACGCATGAAAGAATTTGCATTCTTGAAACGCATCGACCTTCGTTATTTCTCGATCGATCGAACACGGAGCGACTGGTTGCATTGCGGAAGCGGAGGGTGTGCGCGGGACTGGTTCTCTGCACTATAGCCCAGGTGCACGTACCAAACGCGAATATACCTATTTGAGCAAAATTTCTAATTACATCGTCGAGGAAAAAGCAACTTGATCTGATCGAATCTGAAATCGATATAAAAAGAAAACAAAATTAATTCGATAATCTCGCTCGTAGTTATTTGCATGTGTTATTGTTGCCGTTATTATCACTTTCCTTTCTTGTGCAACGCGAGGTAAGACCTTTTACATAATATCGATATTCTTCGTGGGATCAATTATGTAATTACGTTTGCCAAGAATACCGGCACGTTTCGTTCTAATCGAGTGAGAAACCGTTATCTCTCGTCCGCATCCCGTATATCCATATTGGACGCTCTTGAATACAACACACCGGCGGTGTGGGGAATATTAAAATTCTTCTCCCGTATTATCGAATATTAGTGTGAGAAATATAAACCGACATTATCCAACTGTTACTCAATTGTTAATTAATCCGCGATTAACGGAGAGAAGATATCACATATATATTTCTCGACGTAACGCCAATGTCTTGTCTCCGCGAACACAAGTGGAAGAAACACGTTCACGTTGGCGTCGTGAAAACATTCTCTGAAAAAGACAAATCAGAGAGAGAATAAATATAAAAAAAAAAAACAATAAATGCAAATAAATAAATTGTATCGCGCGACACGTGCCTTCAAAAATACAATTTTTTTTTTTTATATTCCGAGGAGATTCGCTTGAAAAATTAATGTGGGAGGCTCGCAGATGCGCATTTTCGCAAGTATTGCTGTCGCACAACCTACGAGTATCCATAAATTTGGGTGTTCGAGCAAACAACAAGCGAAGTGTTTCTTATCTAATATTTATATGCCGCACCGAGTAAGCCTGATATACATGCCGGATCATCATCTTACGTGCGCTGCGTCCGCAACGCGCAATGTTGCGCAGCTATTCATCTCGGCAAAAAAAAAAAAAAACTTCCCTTTCTTCTCTCTGATTGTGAAGCGAGTACGGGGCGATTCTCGACTGTGCACATACTAAACAAGTCTCGAGAATAATATGCTTGCTTTTATTGTACGCGGAATCCTCGAAGACTCACGAACGTTGCGAGCCAGTCGAAAGGTGAAAGTGTGCAAAATAAATTATAATAATCAATTCAGAAGACAAATCCTAGAATGTTTCTCCTCACGGATACGTATTTTTTTTGTTTTCCTATTCTCGGCTATATATAGTTGTATCGTCGGTTGCGATATTAAAATAAGTTGTTTTCTTACACGATGATAAACGGCGCGAACTATTCATTTATTTATTAATATTTTGCGAAGATGTATTTTATATTTACCGCAATAGAAAGATTATTGCGTTAACGCACTGCAAACAGAAATCCATTTGCGTTCGCGCGACCACACGTACAGAAATCGTTTGAAGTCGTGAGACGCGCCGGTAGCGGATCGCGCGTCGAAAGCACGACGCGAACTTCCGTTCCGGTTACGAAACTCCCAGAAAGTCGGCAATGACCAGCTGCGGTCGATGGACGTTCGTTTGTTCGATCTGCCCGTGTGTGTGTGTGTGTGTGTGTGTGCACGCAACGATATGCCCGCGCGCAAGAACGCGCGCGATTGCTCGAGGGCTCTCCCCCTGAATCGGTCGCGCGCATACTCGCTTTCCAGGCATCTCTGGCATCGTAGAAAGTTATTTGACATTTAGAGGGATCCGGAGGTTTTCGACTCACTCACCCCGTGCATATGTGTGCATTCTAATCGCGCATGCCTCCGTTGGATTATGTTGGAGCCTGCATGTTCGAAGCCACGAGGTGCGATCGGTCAATTCGCGCAAACTCGTACGATGATTGGTATTTTGACATTTGGACGATTGTCCGTTGAACAACAAACCGATACCAGATCGACTGGTATGCGACGACAGGTCGCACGCCACCACATAAGGATACGAACAAGGATGATCAGCAGTTAAGTGCGCATAAGCGCCGTTGCAGAAATAATCCGTGCATCTCGTACTAGTCGGAGCGAATGTCGAAGAAAATGCGCATAACGTAACATTGTAATTATTTTAATTAAAGTTTACACATGACGTATATATTGCGTTGCTGCTCTTCGTATGTCATATGTTGCACTCTCGCGGATCTTTTCCTCCTCCTTCCTCCTCCTATATAAAAAATCCATGTGTACCGCGAAGTGCGCGTTTTGATATCGAATGTATCGCATCTATTGTTGTCTCTCTTTTCCGCGTTGCCGATTAGTTGGTTGATCGAGTCGAATCGAATCGGTAAGATCGAGAGAGTAAAGAAAAGCGATTTTGACAGTTCGTCGTATACGTGAAGAAAATTAAAAACGTGACTAAAGTAAAGTCACTTGACAGAAAAGAGTAGAAAAACAACACGTGACTATTTAAAGTAACGTGATTGTAATTTATATTATATATAACATTAAATAAAAAATATATATTATACATATAATTTATTATATATAGTATACAATATAAAGTATAATATTATACTTTATATTGTATATTATAACATATATATATTATGTACATACTACCGTGTAAGGTCACTGACCTCGGCCGCGCGATCGTGGTGGGGCGAGGGTCACTGACCCGGCCGCGCGACCTTGGTGGGAGGGGTCACTGACCCGGTCGCGCGACCTTGAGAAGGGTCATTGACCTCGGTCACGTGACTGCGGCGAGGTCACTGACTTTAGTCACGTAATTATGGTATATATATAGATATGTGTGTGTGTGTGTATTATATATAAATATAGAATATTATATATAATATATATAATATTCTCTGTTTTACTCTTGTCCCTGTCACGTGACTTTAGTCAAGTGTTGTTTTTCCATTCTCCCTTTTTTCTTTTATTTTTTGATTTTGATTTTCATGCGTTATTTCTGACGTCTCTCATATGTACGTCATGTGTATTATATTGTTTTGTAGGACGTATATATTAACTGTCATTGTGGTGACAATGTGTTGTGCTAGTTTTTACCAGAAAAAGCGTGTGTAAGTAATCAAAATCGATTCTCTCGATCTTGATTGTTGCCACTTTTATTTCGATGCTGATTGGACGTTTTTCGGATGTGTTTCTCGATTCATGTCGTACGAATCAAGAGGCAACAATATGCCTCGCGCCGTTCGAGCGCGACTTTGTTGCTTTAAAAGCATAACTGAAATAAAGTCACGTGTTGTTTTTTGTCACGCGACACTCCTCGGGCGTTCGCAATTTCGTCGTAATTGCACGGAGGAAACAAAGTCGCTCGCGGATCTTCACCCGAGAGACTCCGACCCGTCATATCTCCGAAGTCCACTCGCGCTAATTGTTATCACAAACGGCAACGAGTGCCGTTGCTCGTTAACGTAACGTTAACGTAACGCGAAACTTGCCACCCGAAACGCGCTCCGCGAGAAAGTCGCGCGGCGCGTTTCTTTCTTCTTTGCTTTCTCTTTACACACCCGTTACGCAACGAGGAGTGGCCGCCGATGTGTGCGTGTGTGCGGTATTATCATTTCATTCCGATATGTGTCATCGATCTTTTTATTCGTTTGAGAATTCGCCCGCGAATATCTCGCATTGACCGAGCCCCGGGCCTCCGGGAACAAGTGCATCGTCGTGTCGTGCACTTTACATACGTTACATAAGCCGCCACCAAAGCGGAACCGGTACGCGCGCGCGCGGTTTAACATACTTTCGGGCGCAATAAATTCGCGCAATTTGGACGATCGAGTACAAAGCGACTTCGATCCTCGTCTATCGTGCGTAAAAAAAAAAACTTTATGAATGAATTAAAACTGTTAATTCATTAACACACGACACTCTTTTTCACACTTCTGCTTTCTAATTAAATCAATATGTTGCAAGAGAAGACGTAACACTTCGCTAGATGTTTACTTGACTTGAGAAATTGTGCATTTGTTGGGATAAATTTTAAATAAATCAAGAATAGAATTCTGAAATTTCTCTGAGAATTGAATTTGGTAAACGAGAAAACCGGAAACGCATGTGGCAGGAGTGTTGGAAACTTCTTTTGTCGTTAAAAAAAATTGATAAAATAAGATTCGAGAATAAAATATTGCACTTGTTATATATTTATGACACGGAACTCTCTTGTTTTTACGCATTCTCCTTGAATTTCTGCGAGTGAAAATTTATTATACACGAAACTTTCTAGCGTTTTGCGTTTTTGTTTTTTTTTTTTTGTATCGATTATTATTGAGATGAAGTCACCCGACTATCACCACGGCTGACTCATTGTTAATTCATTGGCGATATATACGCGAGAGATCGAAGGCTGGTTAGAGGAGGAGGGATAAGACCGTCGTGAATTAATTATCAGCGGTACTCTCACTAGCGAGAGAGAAAACGCACGCTTTGTGACAACGGAATAATATGTATCCGCGTACGACGGACCGGATGAATTATTGATGGGATGCAATGTGTGTGATTCTTTTTGTTTGTTTTGCAGGAGTTGCGAGCGGCATCGCTGATTCTCTGTTTGGGAATTCTGCTCGCGACGATACAGAATGGTGAGTTTGCCCCGCAACTTTTTTTTACAAAAATTACAAAATTTTTCGTCGAAATATTGCGACGAACTCTCCGTCTCGACGTTTGATATATAAAAGTTTTTTATAGTAATTATATGCGAGAGAATTTTTTAATAAAAGATATTATACGTCTCTCTCTCTCTCTCTCTCTCTCTCTCTCTCTCTCTCACTGATTATTTGACTTCGATTTCCGAGTGTTGACTTTCTCCCGGCAAAAATGTAATTAAAATGTTACTTTCTCCCCCAATTTGTGATCTTCGAATACTGCAATACGTGCGGTTAAGTCAAGAGTCTGATACCATCTCGAGGAGCTGTGAACTATCATCACTGTTCCATCTTTTATTTCTATACGCGCTTTTCTCTCCCTCGTATAGAAATTATTCTATATATCTTGTTTTTTTTTTCAATCAACACACATGTAATTTTCTCGCTCGTGAGACTATTAAATCGCGAGTTAACTCTGGTACTCTGCGCTGATACGTTTCTCACAAAAATCATGCGGAGAAAAAATCGCAGCATTCAATTGGAACAATATAACGCCGAGAACGAGCGCGCGATAATTTCTTTCTCTCTCCGCGAAGACTTCCACTTCGCGGCACTTTCAACGTCGCGATCGCAAAGCGCAAAGAGCGCGCCCGGGATTTTTCCCATACCTGTCCGCGAGACGCAAATCCGGAAAATCACTCGATCACGAAGCGAGAGAGAGAAAGAGAGAGAGAGAGATCTCGGATTTTTCGCTTCTGTCCGATATTATCTGCGCTATTATGTGCCACGGTTTAATGCTGTTATAATACCGTTTGTGTACAACGCCAATATGCAGCGTGGGACTATCGCGAGCACGCTCGCGGTGGGCGTTACGGTGAAAGAGAATCTCGGGCGTTCCTGCACGATTGGCGATCTTTGCGATGGAGGTAACGAGGTTTGCGGATTAAGGATTCAGCGCGCGATGCACGTTCTCCTCCCACACAGCGGCGTTCCAGAAAACGGCTGATAAAAATTTCGGGCTTATATTCGATCGTCGCACACGCGTTAATTACTCAATCTGATCCTTCTCACTCTTCCACTTGTGACCCACTTTGATCTTTATAAATATTTTTTTTCTACTCTAGAAAATCTATCTAGAAATGTATTTTGTAGACGGTGAGAAAGATCCAGTATACCCAGCGGGTAGTATACACGCCCTGTGATGCCAATTTGTGATCTATTGATTAAAAAAAAATATATTTGATTAAATTAATTAACGTCCAAATTAGACCCTTCCGTAACTTCAATTGTGTTTGACATCATGCGAGTTCAAACAAATCACTTGCTGTTGCGCAAAAATTGAGAAAGGCCCCCGGAGTTATTGAATTCCGTTTCGATTGCGTCCGAATGTTGCGAGAAATGCAATTTCTCGATCGTGAGCACGTTTTCGATTTTAAATCAATCGAAATCTGATTTCTAACGTTCGCGTTTGATAGGTACTTACTTCGCCGACGAAGTGTTCTCTGGTCAGGGTCAACGGCAAACCTTATAATTCGCAGGCACCGCTCGTATTGTTTCCTACCACCGATGTGTTCGGCCTCGTTTCACGCCCGATCGACGTGAAAGCACATCGTGTGGGGTATATAATTCGTCGACGAGTCGAAAGCGAGTAACCGAACGAGCGAGTCGGTTCTTTTTTTTTTTTTTTTCGGTGAGCGAATTACGAGCGTGAGAAGCGGGGCAACGAGATGCGTAGCTTCTTTGACGCGCGCTGATGTGCGCGTTCGGCTTAATTAAACGCCTGAACGACGGCGGGAAACAATATCCATCGCATAATTCCACGCTCTCGACGTAACTCTATTCGTTCGATCGCGTGTTACGTGCGCGAACGCCGCGACGTGAATTTGGTCGCAACGCGATCGCATTTCGCCGAGGAAACAGAGATTTAAAAAAATTAAATTTCGAATTGTCCGAAAACTTGCGATTCAATTTCAGATGTTTTTTTTTTTTTTTTTTTTTTTTTGCGGTACTGCGAAACGCTTGTATTTTCGACGTACGGTTAAATACCGTGCCGGGCGGCAGTTTGAGCCGCGCGACACGCGACGGCGCCCATTTTTCTTCGCGCAAACGAAAGTTCCAATCGCGTTTCAATTTCTCCCCGTGGCAACGTTTTCTCTCCCGGCCATTTGCGCGCGTTCTCCCCGTGTTTGGTGTGTGCGATTGCGTGCGATGCGCTAAACGTCGCGCGCGCAACGGGAAACCCGCTCGCGTACATACGTACAGGCGGAACGCGCGTGCTAGATGCATCTTGCACGCGCAACGCATTTAATTCACAATCGCGGGCACGTGTGTGTGTGTGTGCGCGTGTGCGCGCGCGTTTGTGCAGTCGGTGAAACTGCCGGCACGTGTTCCATCGCGGCTATTGAGAAGTGACAACCGTCGAGAACGGGATTTTTCGCACCTGAACGCATCCGTCTCTCCGCTTCTCCATTCAACGGACTGAAAGCGGAGCAGTTGTCGCGCAGAAATTTACAAATAAAATTGTATGCAAGAAAAGCGACCTTATTTCGACGAACTCTTTATGTTCTTTTTCCAAGATGCTGAAAAGAAAATTTATAAAAAAATATCTTTAAATATTTCATTCTCGCTCGCGCCTCATCAGCGTTCTCATCTTTCAGGAATTGCCGAACGGAGAATAGTGTGTTATTACACCAACTGGTCGGTTTACCGGCCCGGCACCGCGAAGTTCTCACCTCAAAACATAAATCCGTACCTATGCACGCATCTGATCTACGCGTTCGGCGGCTTCACGAAAGACAATGCGCTGAGACCGTTCGACAAGTATCAGGACATCGAGAAAGGTAACGCAGAAGCATGTAAAACACACTGGCTTTTACACCGTCAAACTCGTGTAATTTTGTCACTCATCTTGTATCACGTATCTTAAAGATATTTATATTGACGACAAGTAACAATTTTCCGTCGAACAAAAGTAGCCATTAATTCTCGTGCATTTGTTGCGAGCAAGAGAAACGATAGTCTTCGAATCCTTATTGTTCTCCAAGAAAATCGAGAAACAAAATGTCAAATACCAATCCCGTCGACTGAAATGTTAATTCTCTCTCTCTCTCTTGACACGTTTAATATAATTCTTATTTAATTAATTTACGCGCTGAAACTCAAATCGCTCGTGTCATTACTCACTCGATAAATCCGGAGTACACATCGTCTCCGATGATGACTCGGCTGATATTTGACTTTCACTCCTCTCGAATTAACGCTCTCGACGACAGGCGGATACGCGAAGTTCACGGGTCTGAAGACTTACAACAAGAATCTGAAGACGATGCTGGCGATCGGCGGCTGGAACGAGGGCTCGAGCAGGTTTTCACCGATGGTGGCGGATCCCGCGAAACGGCGGGAGTTCGTCAAGAACACCGTCAAGTTTCTCAGACAGAATCACTTCGACGGTCTTGATCTCGACTGGGAGTATCCGGCCTTCCGTGACGGCGGGAAGCCACGGGATAAGGACAATTACGCGAATCTGGTGCAGGTAGATGTCTCAACGGTTTCTAATTCGCCACTGAAATATCTTTCGCGGAAATTTTAGCGAAAACAAACATCGACAATTCAAAGATAGATTTGAATGTGGAGTGAGAGAAACTCCAATTGTGCGCGCGTTCTCGTTGCGATCAGAAGCGAACAATTAATTTGAAAAGTCAATTAACCGCGTCGACAGGAACTTCGCGAGGAGTTCGAGCGGGAGTCGTCGAAAACCGGAAGACCGAGGTTGTTGCTGTCGATGGCGATGCCAGCCGGGGTCGAGTACATCGACAAGGGTTACGACGTGCCCAGACTGAACGAGTACTTGGACTTCATCAATCTGCTCTCTTACGATTATCATTCGGCGTACGAGCCCGTCGTCAATCACCACTCGCCGTTGTATCCTCTCGAGGAGGACAACGAGTACAATTACGACGCGGAGTTAACTATCGTAAGAACGAACGCGTTTGTCAAAGGATCTTTTTGTTAAAATTCGAATCACAGATCGTTTGGCAAAACGACTAGAATCTCAATTTTTTGATTGTTAGGATTACACGATCAGTCATCTGCTGGAGAAAGGAGCGTCCGCGGATAAGATCGTCCTTGGAATACCGACGTACGGCCGTTCGTACACGCTGTTCAATCAGGACGCGACCGAGCTCGGGTCGCCGGCGGACGGTCCGGGCGTCGAAGGGGACGCCACTCGAGAGAAAGGCTATCTCGCTTATTACGAGGTAAATTGGCAACACAGTTTACATCACACATCGCGATTCTCGAGATTAGAAAATTTTACGCGCGCGCGCGCGCGCAAAGAGTTAACAAGCGTTGTAAGAAACACACTCGATCTTCAAGATCTGCGAGAGCATAGCGGGATCCGACGAGTGGCAAGTCGTCCAGCCGAACGTCAAAGCGATGGGACCGTTCGCTTTTAAGGGCGACCAGTGGGTTGGATACGACGACGAGAACATAGTCAAGCTGAAAGCTCGCTACGTGAACGAGAAGAAACTCGGAGGCATCATGTTCTGGTCTATAGACAACGACGACTTCCGCGGCAAGTGCCACGGCCGACCCTATCCACTGATCGAGGCCGCGAAAGAAGCTTTGCTCACGGACAACAGGTAAGTAAAAATTAATGTCAAGGTTAATTAATTTTGAATTGTGTGTATAAAAAAAAATGTATTTTAATTTTGCGACGCCTTAAAAAGAATTAAAAAAACGACAAATAACAAATAAAAATAATAAAATCAATGATAAATAAATAAATTTATTACACAGCAAAAATGCGATCGACAAACCGAAGTCGAAAGAGGACAGTCGAAAGAAGACGCGCATCCAAAGTGCTCAGAGCAACGCTTCGAAATCGAATCATCGAAGAAGCAGCACCACGTCAGCTCCGATCGTCACCAAACGCGCGTCCTCTTCGAGACCGAAGTATCGTAATATTTCGAGACCGAAAGCGAGCGACGAGGAACGAGAGGATGAGGATCGAGAGACGTCGAAGAAATCGTACGACTCGGACGATGACATAGAGGGTAGAAACACCGTCAGAGTCACGGAGAAAACCGAAAGACCGAAAGATCGAAACAGAAGTTCGAAAACGCGAGGCGGCTCTGCCGATCGTAGCTCTCGCAGAAAACAATCCAGACTCAAAGGACAGACGAGAAATGACGAGGAACAGGAGTCCTTGAGCAACAAATTGACGACGCCCGAGCCACCGACGACTCCCGATCCGGGAACCGGTAAGATTTTTATTTTTTTTTTTTTCAAGAAATGACATTGTAGAAACGTTACAGGCAATATTTGTCAAGAAATTGAAATAAAAAATCTGCTCTGCTCTGTATCGAAAGATTGGTTTGTTCTTTACAGACTTCAAGTGTGAGGACGAAGGTTTCTTCCCGCATCCTCGAGATTGCAAGAAATACTTCTGGTGCCTCGACAGCGGTCCGAGTGGGCTCGGAGTGGTTGCGCATCAGTTTACCTGCCCATCGGGTAACACTTGTTTTTTTTTTTTTTATAAAATAGTTCTATATATTTTTATTTAATATTAGATTAAAAAAGACCAACTCTGAATTGGTTCTAATTTTTTTTTTAATACACGGCATTTCGTAAATTTTGCACAGGTCTTGTATTTAACAAGGCAGCGGACTCTTGCGACTATCCGCGCAACGTGATTTGTCCGAAAGCGTCGAAGACGTCGATTGTTTCCACCACAAAATCGCCGATCACTGCCGCGACCAGCCGAACGACTTACTTGCATAGCACGACAACTGCGAAGACGGTGTCGGAAGAATACGATTCGGAAGAAGATTACGAAGACGAGACCGAGGAGGATGAAGAGGAGGAGGAAGTGAGAGAAGAACCCACGACAACGGCTAAGCCGCTTGTCTATAAGACGCTCACCAGAAACAGACCCAGCACGACAACAGCCGCAACCACAATCAAAACGTCGAAACCAAACGAACCAAACGAAAGAATCAGCGACAGCGAAGACGAGGAGGATCCAAAGGTGATCAAAGAACTTATCGATCTTATCAAGAAAGCAGGCAAGTGTAAACTAAAATTTATTTACATATGACTTCATATATTTTTAAGTAATTTATACATTGATAATATTTTTGCGTACTTTTTTTTTTAATAAAAAAGTTTTTTTATCTCTTCATACAACAGGTGGAATAGAACAGTTGGAGAAACAGCTGTTGTTCCAAGACAAGAGCGCCGACACCACGTCGGGTAGCGAAAACGTCACTCCGGCCACGATCAGTCGTAGTCTGTACGAACGCGTGTTGAATCGTCAGGCGAGCAAACTCGCCAGTCAGCGACCCGTATTGTCATCTTCCGAGACCAGTTACGTAAACGGACCGGGGAGAGCACAGTTCGAAGGCTTAGACGAAATTCCGGAAGTAATGAATCTCAGACGTTCGCAGAAGCATCAATATGTCACCATCGAGAGATCCAGGTCGGTTTTCTCTCTAGTTTTTCAATCGTGCTTTAGAAAAAAAAAATGAAGATCAGTTAACTCAAGATTATTCTCGATGGTGTTAAAACTGAAATTCCATTTCGTTTGTTTAAAAGATATTTAACTGACATACATTGCACGATACTAAATTGTTAGATCACCTGCGAAGGATGAGGAAGAAGAGGAGGAGGAGGAGGAGGAGGAGGAAGAAGACAATACTGACGTAGCTTCTTCGGAAGAAGAAAGTGTCAGTCACCCGGAAGATGGCACGTCCACGCACCGAGCGACGCCAAGTTACGTCAATATTCGTCGAACACGACCTTCCACCACGACGTCTAGGTATCGATCGTTGATCAAAGTAATCGATTTTTATTTTGTATAATTCTTTTATCGCGAAACTTTTTCAGAACCGAAAACGACGTGGTAGAAAAGGAAGTGGAGGAGGAGAAATTGACTCGCAGGCGACGACCATTCATTTCTTCAAAGTAAATAAATAAATAAATAAATAAATAGTATATTCGATGTATTTAATAGATACGATGTTAAAACCTGGTGCTATCATGTGCGACAATGTTTTCCAGGCAACAAGATAACGAGGCAAATTCTGAAACGTCCAAATCTTCTCGAAATCGTGGTTTAAGGTGAAACCGAAAAAAGTTTTTTTTTGCAAATATATATGCGACGTATGATATCATTGCAAATTGTAAACAGAGTACGTAAATCGTTTTTCAGGATCTCGGAAAAAAGAGACAATCCAGAAGACGTCGATCAAGCGACGGAGAAGGACGACAGTTTGCAAACGACAAAATCTAGGTTCATGCGCACAAATGTTTCTCTTTGCTCTGTGCAATATTCTCGTTACACAGTGAAGAGACACATGTGTCACATGTATCTTTCTCTATATTTTTCACAGGTATATCAGTATACAAAGATTCAGAAGCACCACTTCAAAGACTTCCGACGAATCGTCTAGCGTGGTTCCTCAGACGGAGGTGATCAGCGAAACCACTTCGCCAACGAGACTCGAAGAATATTCAGAAACATCCAGTACAACCGCTAGTACTGCCACTTCGTCGTCTACTACCCCCGCAACGACCACTTCGACTTCCACCGAAGTGATCACCGTGATCAGCGTCGAACCGTCGCAATACCCGTCCAGCGTCAATCCTAAGGTCGCGATTGGTTCCACCACAGACTCGGTGAAGCTGGTGGACGATTCCGCGACGGAGATACTGTTGACGACAGTGCCGGCGACAGTCACCAGCTCGAGTCCGTCAACAACGACGACGACGACGACGACAACGACGACAACAGCAGCAACATCGACTTTGGGAAGTAGATCGACGATAGCTGTGGTGTCGCAGCCGCGACCCTTCGGTTTCACCCGAAGAAGATCCGGAAGTTCAGAAACAACGACGACGATCCCCCCGTCGAGCAGGTCCAAGGTGAGTATAAAATCGCGAAATCCCACGCGCCAGCCCAGTTCGTCCTCGGGACGAGGTCGATTAAGGACGAGACCGATCAACCGAGTTGCCGAGAACGAGGAGCCGGTGAACGCTCCACGAACGGAAACCACCACGTCGAAGAACAGGGAACTTAGCAGATCGCGCAATAGGGGATTCAACAGATACAGTTCTCCGACGTCGAGATCGAAGACGGAGGACGCGTCTTCCGCGAACTTCGTCCCGGCTCCCAGATACAGAGAGAGAGGCAGAACGACGACCTCCACCACCGTCAGTACGCCCGCCAGTGGCGAGTTTAGAAGAAGATATCGGAGACCGAGTCGAGTCACCAATACGGAATCAACGAAGATCAACGAATTGGATGACAGTCCGATAGTCAGGATAGCTCAAGGCAGTTCCAGAAGAAATTCCTCGTTTCGATCGCGATCCAAGAGCAGCGACGACGAGAACAACGACAAGATCACGAACATCAGAGTCTTCAAGAGTCCGTCTGTCAATCGCGACTTGTACGACAGAACGAAATACACGAAGAAGAGAAACAATGTGGAAGAGCCGGTGCAAAAAGTGATCAGTAAATTGAATCAGAGACAAGTTACGTCGACGACGAAAGACTCGGAAACGAGTGATGATTTCGCGGATATCGATAAAATCGAGAGAAGCGATTTGCTGAACATCATCGATCAAGAGACCACTACGGTTGATTCCGTCGTTGAGTCGAACACCATTCAGCCGGTCTACATCGCGAAACCACTCGCGCAAACCGACATCACGACTGTTTCGGACGATGCCACAGCAACAACCGTTCAGGGAGAAACTTCCAGGTTTAATCCTAACTTGGGGACGATCGCAACTACCGATCGTTACGCCGTTGACGCCGCGGAAAAACTGCTGGACGCACCGAGAAGACGGAAGGTTCTTCTGAGAAGAAGACCGGTGTCGTCGAGCACGGCGGTGAACGCTATCGAAATTGAAGAAGAGGACAAATCTCAAGTGTTTCGCAAGCGAAAAGTGATAAAACGCAAACGTCCGCTTCAAGACACTTCGTCGCCAACCACGGTCGAGGTTTCTCCGAACGAAGAAGCGCAAACGAACTCAACCGTCACTTCGACAACAGAAATCAGCAGAGACGCGACACAGTCGACGATCCCTGCCGATCATACAGTTTTTGCGACGAGCAAGGACGCCGAAGAATCGACGATTGCCACCGAGCAGACAGAATTCACGAGAGTGATCGAAGACTCGACCGTTACGGAAACCACGTTGCCTACGACCTTGCGCAACCTCGACGATTTCACGAAGGTCACTTTGGAAACGCCCGCGGCCGAAAGTACGACGGTGTTTCCCGATGAGGAAGTTGTCGATTTCTTCGCTACCACGTCGACGATTGACGCGGACGAGGGATATCAGTCGACGAGCGAGTCGAATGTCGAAGCTAGTACGGAATCGACTTTGGCGACGACCGACAACACCGACGACGCGTTTTTGGAAACGTTGCCGTCCACCGTTGAAAATGCGTTGACTACTACTCGCCCGCAGGTAATCACTACATTGCCTACATCGGACTCGATCGTCACTCAGGCGCAAATAAACGTCACCTCGCTGACATCCGAGCAAGAATCGTTGAATTTTGATCCGAGATATACGCGCAGAAAGTTTATTCGCAAGAACCTCGCGTCGTCAGCGGGAAACACGACCGGCAGAAGTTCTTTCTCGGAAGACAACAACTCCGAAATTCTTTCGAGACGCAGGAATAATTTATTCAATCGACGTCAGCCAATATCTTCCACGACCGTTAACGCGCTTCGCGACGATGTTAAATACCGGAAAGACGCGAACGAGGAAGAGCGAAAGGAAAACAATGGATCTTACGATTTGGTTGGAAAGATTGCGGAAGATGCGACATCGAGGAGCAAACAGCAGCTCGTCTCGACGAGCGGTATTTCGGACGACTCCGCGCAATTCTGGAAACATTACACCACAGCTTCGGCGAAAGAGCAGATAGATTATCCTTCGGGTGAGGATCGTAAAGTCACGAGACCGGAGAACGACGATGACTATCGATCGACGTCGATCGCGACTCACAGATCGGAGACTGTTCGGCCGCGATACAAAGTACCCGTGATTCTGAAGAGACCCTTCGATCCCGAAGAGGCTTTGTCACCCAGACGTTATTATCCGGCTGTGGATTCCGCGCCCGAGGAATCCGAGGAGACTCCGGAAACGAGAGATGCCAGACTGAGGCAATTGGCAGCCGGAGGATTTCGGCAACCGCGAACGCGTTACAGACTTTGGAGTAACGTCGGTAACGTCGACGAGGTGTCGACGTCGAGTCCGGAATCCACGAGCACGTGGCAGTACTTCAAAACGCGTTCGTATTCGAAACGTCCGACGTCGACCAGCACAGAGACGTCGGCCGTCACGGAGACGTTGATACCGGCGAAAAAGTTCGATTACGCCGCGGACGCTTTTCACCGGAGGCAACAGTCGCTGAGAACGACGACGACGACAACGACAACGCCGAGAAGCGGCGGCGATCCTTTCGACTCGCAGAATCTGATCGATCCGGATTACACCACGACGCCGAAACCGTCGGTGACCAGACTGGTGACTTCCGTGACGGAATCCGGGACGACGGAGCGGCAGAAGATACTGATCAAAACGAAATACTCGTCGTTGACGGCGACCACGAGGATACCGGCGGATCAGTTTCCTCTCCCGACCCCGTCGTCGTTCACAATGACCGGGATCGACGACGACGAGTCCGTCAACGAGATTCGTCAGATCGTCGAGCGATCGACGTTGCCGATCGAGGGCGAATTCAGTTACAACGGTCGATTCACGACGGAATCCCACGAGTCGTCGACCATCGAGATCGAGTCGGTGTTCAACAATCTGATCGCTAGCAAGGGTTCCGCGAAGTAGCGATTCGTAGAAATTCGTTTACTCTTTTATCGTCGACCGACGTCACACAATAAAATGTACATAGACACAGCCATAGTAATTAAGAAAGCCGATATTATATCGTCGCTCGCCAGTTTGTCAACGGGAAATGAAAAAATGTTAGAGAATTAAAATAGAAACTTAGTTTTTTTTGAAACTACGTCACTAATGTATATAGGCGCTTTATTTAGCGAGTATATTAGTTTAAGATTGCTCTCTCATGTGTGAGGTGGACGTTTTAATAAACAACATAACAAAAACCTAAAAAAAGGAACGCGACAAAAGTACAACTCGCTAGATCACGACGACCGACGACTGAATAATTCGTCTTCCACGCATCATCACAATCATCAATCCTCACATCAATAACGACAGATGATCATAACGCAGCATTTTATATATTCATCCGCTTACGTCTCTGTCTCTTAGAGGAACCTTTGACCGAGACCTCTCTGATAATTTCTCTCAACACTTCTACTCACCGCAAGTATGCGACTGTTTACTAAAAAAAAAAAAAAAAAAAATCGCTATCGATGACCCAAGAGATATGACACACTCTCTGATTAACGCAGCGAGCGAGACAAGCTCATGTGCGCTTCGATAGATAGATAACCAGAGAACTCTCCCTCTTTAGTACACTCCCTTCTTTTCTCCTGCAAACAAAAAAAAAAAAAAAACTGATGCGGCTCATCACACGGTGACTGAAAGACGGAAGGAAGAAAAAAATTTTACGATGTAAGAGAGGACTACGAACTCTACAGAGACTCTACGGGAGAGCGAGAGGGAAAGGGGGGAGAGAGAGCGAAAGAGGTCCCGGGGGATCTTCGCATTAAAGCGCGCTGCTTGTTCTGATTTTCAGGTCGCCGAAGCGAAAACTATCAGACTGCCGACCCTGAAGGAGCTGATCGGCTACTCGACGACTTACCACGACGATCGTCGTATCGTTACGACACCGTCGTCGTCGTCGTCGTCCGTTATCTCGCACTTGCTGCGCGACCAAGTGGATGACAATGACATTAGCCTGCAGAACGTCGAGGAGTCAGCGAAAGTCAGCGAAGAGATTGCCGGCGACGTGTCGTGGCTGCGACAAGCCACGAAGAACAAAGCGAAATCGCGCATCCCGAAGATGGCGGACGTTACCTTCGACAAAAAAGCTTTGGCCGCGAACGCTATTCACGAAGACGAGAACAAGGAACGAAGAAATTCCTCAACTTCCGTCTATCTGAAACCGACCACGATGCGCGGTATTCCTCTCGCCGATCTGACTCCCAGCCCGGTGATACGTGGATTCTACGTTACCAAGAACGAAGACGATTCAACCAGATCGACGGTTGACTTCGCGTTACAGTACAATCCCGTTGTTGAATCACAGACGGAATCTACTCCGGTTACTGACATTCCCACGACCAACGAGATTGTCACTCGCGCTTACGATCGAAACGAAGCGAATACTTCGGACAACAGTGAAAGCGACACGACGATCGACGAAGTTACGACTGTTGCTTACAAAAATCGAAACGAATACGAACTCGATATTTCTACCGGCAATCCGGCAGTTAGCGACGAAGACAATACCGCTCGCGAGGAGACACTTTTCGTTTCGAGTTCCTCGACCATCGCTTCGGAAGATTCCGGCAGCGTCGAAAATGATCTTCCCGATCGCGAAGAACCCCGTACAACAGTTGCAACACCTGATAGCAGATCTGTGTCTAGACGAAGAAAACCGTCGCGCGAATTGAATTACAACGTCGAGACGCCTAACGTCGTTTCAACGAGATCGTCGGCAAGACGAAAAATCGACGTCGCCGTGAACAGATTTAACGAGGCTACCCCCGCGATATGGACGGGCAAACGCATATTGATCAGAAGGCGACACAGAACCACCGTCTCGCCGATTAAGGACGCCATAAGACGAACTGAGAGCGCGTTCGCTCACGGCGCAACGAGTATCTTCGGAAGCGCAACCTCTACGACCCCTTCGACGTTAACTTCAAGTCGTGCATCTCCCGCAATCACCACGGGAGTTCCTCTGAATACGCTCGAGGTTACTGTATCTTCCGAAAGTTCGAGTATTCGTGAAGATCTAGCAAATTTCTCTGAGATCGAAGATTCGAACAATCGCGCGATCGCAGAGACGGATGTCACTTTGACCTCGTCAAAGATCGTTTCGACGTGGGTGAATCCCACAGCTGCTGTAATTTCAACAATCTCAGACGATTCTACAACCACGTCCGCAGACACGTCCGAAGTTGCAACCGCATCGCCGACTGTTGAGGTTGCAAAAGCTCCTTCACTTGAAAGTGACGTCACAACTACAGTTGCGACTACGAGTCCTAACGATGAAACCACTTTTACTACAGCTTCAATTTATTCGTCTGATATTCCTGCAACTACGAGCACGCGCGATCTTGCGACTGCGAATAACGAGATCGAATCTAATTCCACGAGTTATTTAACAAACGATTTCACAAATCACGCTATTGAAACCACCTCGTCGATTGCAAATTATTTCGAAACTGCTACCCCGGTAAATGCGATCGCTACTGATTCTTCAATCACGACCACGAATACTGAAGTTGAAACCGCTTTCACGAGCGCGAATTATCCAAGTGATAACGATGTGTTTGTAACGAGTGAAGTTGAAACTACTTTTATCCCTGCAATTACCGTCCCGGCAACTGCCGACGCAATTACGATTGATTTTTCCACATCCGAAACCGGAGCGGAAGATGAAAAAACTACCAACGCGATTGCGAATTATTCTACAGTTGCGACAATTGCGACGGATATAAGCGAAACTGATTCCGCCGTTGCGACTACGAACGAAGGAACCGAAGCTTCTGCCAAAACCGAATTGAATTATTTCGAATCTGTTACTTCTACGAATGTACGCGCAACCACAGTTCCAGTCACCGCTACTTCGCCGTTAACAACGATTCCTTCTGCCGCGTATACACACGTGTATCCAACCGCGTCCGTGACAAGTGACTTTACGGATAGTCTAACTACAAATATGATGACAACGGCTGATACAATTGTTCCAACCACCACGGACTCGATTACAACACCCGCGAGTGTAGACGTTCCTTCCGCAACTACTTCGGCAATTATCGACACAACGACAGCTGCAACTCAGTTCAGACCTGATTCCGTAACGTCGGCTAGACTTCCGATAACGGACACACCTTCAACTAGTCCGATTTCTACAACTGCAAAAGTCGAATCGAGTATTCTTGACGTTGGAAATAATTCCGAAACATTAGCTGACACCGTAACTGAACAATCCAACGCTCGAAACAATCCAACGCTCGCTTCGAAGTTGTCTTCCAGCGCCAGTTCCGAAATATCGTTAGCGGGAACGACCGCATTTTCGAGTCAAACTGACGACAATTCCGTGACACCGGTGATTACGCGAACTCCTTCAACTCTTCCTTCCCTTACAACACCGGTTACAACCACTGTAGCTACAGAAGAATCTGGACCTACAGATTTTCCGACTCCTGCGACTTCTTACGAGACGATTCCGACTACAATTCGAACAACCGAGAGCATTTATTTGTCGCGTTCTGCAATACGTAAAGAATCCACGAAAATAAATACCGATTTTCCCCAAGAAAAAGAAGCTACTTCTAATACCGATGGTCAAAACGAAACGAACGATCGAACAGCCACGATTGTTCGCGAGTCGAATTTCAGACAAACGACAAGCAAAGATTCCGCGATTCTGGAAGAGAAACTTTCCGAAGAAACTACGTCAGAAAGTACGCGAGATCGGGAACAGAATCAAACGACGTCGTTGCGAAACGGTCAAAAAACATCCAGACGTCGCGTCATAAACCGAACGAGTAACTGGAACGGTTGGTCGGTATCACGGCAAACGAGCCATCCTCGACGTGTTCCGCCGGTTCATCGCGGAGGGGGCACACGGAGACCTTCTAGCTACATTTCTTCCGCGAGAACGAGAGAGGAGCATCTCAGAAGACGAATCGCGCAGAAGAGAGCCAGAATTAATCCCGAAGCGCGCGGTAACACTGTCGGATCTGACGAAAATGTTGTCGACGTTCAAAATGTCACCGAGACGACGAGTGTCACGTACGGTCAAAATGGAAGGACGAAAGTTACGGTGAAGAGAGTCAGGGAAAGAATTGATAAAAAAGAAACTACGACAACTTCGCAACAAGAAACAACGGAACTTCATCAAACGTCTGTTGAAAACAAATCTCGAGATCGCAACGAGACCGTCAGAAGAGACCGAAAACCGGAAAGAGCGAAACCTCAGACTCAGGAAGATCTTGTAGCCGAAGAAATCCGAGGTTACTCTGATTTGAATAATATTATTGCTAATAATAATAATAATAATAATAATTCGAATAATACTAGCGATACTATTACCGATTCGACTACTGCTCTCGATAGTAATTTGACTACTGTCGACACCGCTACCGATAAAAATCAGTCAAATATTTTTGAAAATAATTTTCACACAAATGAAAATCGTTTTCAACAAGAAAAGATTAACAGAAGAATGAGAGTTGTGCTAAAAAGTGTTAGACCTACGAGCAAAGAAGAGAACTCGAGAACTGCGGAAGCGAGTGCGGTTTCCGATCCCGTCGATGTGCGAAACAGTTTTTCGAGTAGATCCGATAAAGGCAGAAGAGGTAGAATGAGAGTTGTGTTGAAGAGTATCAGACCCAAGGACGAAACTTTCGCAATTGAGGAAACAGAATTCGATTCTGCAAATGACGACGAGAACGGTCGAGAAAATCTTTCGAACAATCGTAACAACGCGAGTGCAAACTTCACCGACGAGAATAAAATAAAAAGAAGAATGAGGGTAGTGAAAAGAGTTAGACCTACTACATCCGAAGAAACGGAGACGAGAACAACCGACGTGGTCGATGCGAATCCTCGTAACGACACGAGTCTTTTTGTTGATTTCGGAAGAAGAAACGGGAGAAGAATGAGAATTGTTTTGAAGAGCGTGAAACCCAGGCTCGAGGAGACGAGAACGGATTCTGATACGACCGATGAGGATCTTCAGGGTAGCTCTTCGAACAATCCTTACGTGTACAAAAATCGTTCCGACGAGGAGAAGAAAGTTGCGTCGAAAAAGATCGAACCTGCGAGAAAAGACTTGATAACCGAAGAGACGGAAAATTCGCCGGTAACCTTCGTGTCCGTTTTGCCACCTGGATTTTTTCGAGAGAACAGAAAACAAAAGATCAGAGACGGGACGAACGTTCCGTCCAAGGAAGTCGAGCCTAGATCGCGAGAAGTTAAAGAAGAGGCTGAAACGATGATCAGTGCCATCGACAAAAATCACGAGAGCGACGTTTCTTCAGTTCGTTCCAAGCCCGAGAAAGAGCGAACGACAACCGAACCGCGGGAAGACACGCGAACCACGGAGGCGACCGCTGTTCTGACCGAAGAGGACACTGATCGATTTTCGCTCGAGGTCAGTGCCGTTTTAAACCGAAGAACTCTCACTTTGCCTTGATAACACGCTGTAATTTCTTGATCGATCGCATGTTGCTCTAACAAAAAAGCGAAAACGAAAAAAAAAAACAATTCAAACGCCATCGCCTTCAAAACATTAATGAAGAATTCCAATAGAAAATCCTTTAATAGCGAGAGAAAGAGAGAAAATTAGCTTATTGTCACGCAAATGTCGCCGCCTCTTCTAATCAGTATAAATAAATGCGGTGAAATCGTAGAAGCGCCTTTGCTTAAAAAAAAAAAAAAAAACAATTCAATGGTCTGGCTAATGGAAGATGGATGCGTGCTTGCGCAGCGTAACGCTTCTGGAACTGCGAATCTGCTTTTGGTCTGCCTGATTAATTAATGTGCTAATGAGAAAAACTATTGAGAGATAAGATGCGGAAACTACAAGAGATCAGTTTCTGATGTCTGCCAAAAAAAAAAAATCTTCTTCACACGCCTAACTGCTGAAATAATCCATTGATCCAACGTCATCTTTACAAAAACGGCTAGTCGAGAACGAGCTAATATAAAAAACAAAAAACCATCTATAAGAGCTAATATACGAATACTCTGACGATAACTTCTGGTGGTTTCTCACGCGAGTGCCTATCCGACAAGATCTCTCATCCTTTCGTTTGTGGGCCTAACCAGATTGTCTTTGGTATTTAAAAACCTTAATGAATGAGGAAAAACACGTTATTGTCTATTCTTTATACGCTACCACGTCATCATCGCATTGCCTGAAACTCGGAAGAAACATCTCCGCTCTTTTCAGCTATATTAGAAATCTTATTTTTCTACCACTGTGCGGAATATCCGGAACTTGGAAACTTCAAGTCTGATCTTTTCCTCCTCCAGCGTTCTGAGAACGCAAAAGCGAATGTCAAGAATCATCTTCATACGCGCTATTCAGTTCTTTTTCCACTGTTACAGATTAACAAGTAAAACTGTTTTCTTTTTTTTATTTTTTTTATTTTTTTTTACGCGAGACGCGCCGCACGTGCGAGCGGCGTTTCTCTCGCTTCCTCTGATGTATTTTCAACGTTTTTATTAATGCTTGAATCTCGACGAGATTTTAATGTCTTTAACACGCGAACGTCCCAAACAACACAAAAAAAGTTGAAAGAAGATACTCTTTCAAACATATATTCAAGTATTACTTAAAAAAATTACTTAAACAAATTGTTTTTTTTTTTTTTTCACATATTTGTGTTGTCTGAGATATTCTTGAAATTTCCTTGATTTTCTTCATCTTTTGAGATTTTACTTTTTTATTCTCTGTCGTAAGCTTGCTTTGCCGCGGACATGTGTACGTATAAATATATATACTAAATATATATACGTGCGCTTGTCGGCGAATCTGTCATTACAATCGACAATCCGCAACGGATTTTTATTATCCGTGTAATTAACCGTTTCTTTTAAACAGACAACTTCCTTGAGAAGCAACGGATCTTCCCTCGGTCGCAAATCGGGAAGCGGAACAAACCCCGTTAGGCAGAGAAAACCGACGCAGCCGACAACGGTCACTCCGCTGATCAGTACCGTGCCGAGCTATCTGACCACAACTCATCGAAGAAGCAGACCGGCAATCGAGACTACCCTGTCGCCGAGGATAGATCTCAGTAGGTTAATTCAGTGAGAGATGACACCTGAGTATTTTGATTTTTAGTTTTTTTTTTTTTTTTTTTAGATTTCCAAACACTTCTGTTTCGAATGAATGTTGTTTCTTTCAGACGTGTTCGACGGCACCGAATCGTACGTTAAATCGACCGCTTTCGAGAACGATCAGAAGACAGACGTGTCCGATCAAAGCGTTCGCACCCAAGAGTTCGCGGCGACTCTGACGGATCCGCCGATCTCGTCTTCGCCAAACACCGGTACATTATACTTGCTAGAGACCACGCCGTCCGATTATCTAATTCTTCTAATCTAACGTTCCGCATCATCAACGCACGCGCGCTTCGTATTTCGCGCGGGGCATTCGGGTGGCAATCTGCGTTTTTACGCGTTTTAACGAAACTCTTCGTCTCAAGAGACGAAGCCGGCAGAATCTCATCATCTCCTGACACCTGACGATCATTTATAATATCTCCCGGAAATCTCGCCTGACAAGCTCGCCTCAACTTATCAACTCGAAAATCGCGACGCTACGTAATCTCGTTAGAAAAAAAAAAAAAAAGAATATTTATCTTCTCAAAATAAAATGTCTTCGCAAATAATGTCATTAAATTTTTGTTCGACTAATTTCTCACACTCATTGCGTTGTGTGCTCTCTCACGATCTCGCAGTTCTTTCTTCACGCAATCCCATCACGCGGATTTTTCTCCAATCATTTGTCTTTTTTAATCAATGATGACAATTGAAATATCATGAATCACTAATGCGACTTATCTATCATCAGTCTCGTCGCCTTTTTTTTCGTCTCATTTGTTTCATTCAGTTTTGCTTTTGCTAAAAAAAAAAAAAACAAACAAATTAATCGCTATAATCGTGTTCCATGCCACTATCGACAGAATGGACAGTACGTGGCATGGATCTCTCTCTCTCTCTCTCGCTCTCGATTGTGATTTACAGTGAGGTGTTCTCAGTTTCTTCAGTCTCTGTGGCAATCTCTGATTGATTGGTGGCGTCTTACTAATGAATCTCACTCGTGTCGCTCTTCTTCGTTCACTCTCTCTCTCTCTCTCTCCCTCTTTTTCTTTCACATTCTGGGGATTGACTTCATCACCGTGACCCGCTTGCTCCCAAGCTAACGTCTAAGCGACACTGGACTAATCAGGTTACACGCATAGGTCGAACGCCGTTAGTGGATGTCGATGGGCGCAAGATTAGCACCACCATAACACCCAGAACGTATCCCACGACCGAGCGAACGGTCACGAGATACGGCGCGGACGTGAGGGGTCGTCAAAAGTTCAGGACGAAAGACAACAACAAGCCTGCCACAGCGAACGTTACCACGAGACCTAGAAGACCGCCGGTGATCGATTACGACTATTACGAGGACGAGGTGCCGATCGTGATCGGCAAGTCCTTCCTCAACAGTAAGCTCTTCCTCACGAACAAGGGCACGATACGTTGCCTGGATCAGGGCAACTTCCCGCACCCGTACTCGTGCAAGAAGTTCATCACTTGCGCCCGTATGGTGAACGGCCAGGTGATCGGAACCGAGTACACTTGTCCCGATAAATTGTCCTTCGATCCCATCGGCGGTATCTGCAACTGGTCCGCCGGTCTCGGTTGTAAGGAACGATAGATGTTCTTGATCACTTGATAATTCGATACAGGGGGAAGAGTTGTATATAAGCTCGCGATCGCATCGATAGTTTCGTTTTGAGAAAAAAAAAATCAATCAACAAATCGTTTATCCCGACTCGGAATATATTAGACGTGGTTCGTTAAATTGTGACGCGTTTAAACAGAACAGAAAATAAAACAACACGTAATTGTTAAACTTATTGGTCCACGGGAAAGATCTTTAAGAAAAGATTGAGTTATCGAGTGGTTAAGATGATCTTTGCGACGTTCTTCTCTCGGACTAGAAAAAGAATATTTCCAAAGCATTTATTTTTAAACAAAAATAAAAAAAAAAACTTTTTTGATTCTTGCAACATATAAATTTCTATATTTTAACACGTATGTTAATTCGCGGATTTCTGAGAGATATTGTTATCTTAAATGCAATGACAACGTGAAAATAAGAGCATTCCATGAATATTACACGGTCTAAAAATGACATAACGACGGTGTTAGAAAATAAGCGCGAAGTGTGTATTACTATTGTAAGAAAGACTTCGAATCGGTATATCTCTCGTTGAAAAGACCCTCTCTATCCGCACAGTCTTCAACGATAATTTGTTTCGAGCGCGTGACGGACAAAATTGCTTTAATCACATAACACAGTAGTGGATTGCGTCCAACAAATTTTTATCCCACAGTTGAGTTCTTTGTCCTTTCGAGGAAAACTGTGATTCATTTCAATTAGCAAACGGGCTGTTTTCAAAGCGATCACATTTCGATGAGACGTATCCGTATACACACACACTCTCCTTGTACGACTGCGCAACAGCCATATAATCGAGCGAAAACACAGAGTGGTGATATTATCGTTAAAGTCTCTTTCACATGTAAATATTAATAGTGTTTGTTATGTGCGTAATAAGTAGCGTAAATAAGATAATAAACGTAAACTCTTTCGCGTGTGGCCTGTGACCAGAGCGGGCGTTACATAATTTAATCTGTAAATTTTTCACAGCGATTGTTAAGCCCTCTTTTTTGTTTTGTAACAAAAGATACGCTTAATCTTCCTCTTTTGAGACGAACAATAAATTTCGAACTCGATTCATATTGGCGAGTGTAGTGCACATCGAATTTAATATCATATATATACATATGTAATGTATCGAAGTTTTTTTTTTGTACTTGAAAAATAAAAGCATCGATTATATACGACACACATCTTGCGCGTGATCTTCGCACATTTCGCAAACAAAATTGTTCAACGACGAAATCTTTGGTAAGTATTTTAAATAATATCCTAAAGAATAAAAAAATTGCATAAATAGACAAACTTTTTCTCTGTTGCGTTTCTTCTCGCAGAGAGAAATAAACTCTGGTGCGACAATTTTTTTTCCAAATATTTTTTTTATTTTCCCCGATATTTTTTGTTTCACAATGTTATTTGTTATTAATTTAGTTGAAGAAGATGAGATGAACAAACTAAGTTTATTATTACAGTATAGTTGAGATAAATGTAATGCAGCGAAACGATCGTATTTTTTTTTTTTTTTTTTTTTTTTCCATGAGGTTGCTCGAACTCCGTGCAACTCTTTTTTTTCGTAAAATACTGCAAAGTAATTACAATTGTACACTTTGTGTGTGCGTGTTGTAAATAAAAAAAAAAAAAAAACTGTATATTATAATATTAACGTTCGAAGAAGATCGTTCAAAGCAACTAGATATTTTTCGAGACCGTCGATTATCCGAAATAGTCGAGTAGTTCACCGTTCACGGATACTTATTCAGGAATTTCTCTTACGAATTACCACTGATGAGTCGGATACATATGTACGTACATGTTTCAGATATATTCGTGTTTCCTTTTTTTTTTCCGCATTACGTATATTTTCCATTCAGTGTACATCTCTACATGCGAGGAAGTGCGTGTGCGTGTGTGTATTTTTGCGTCGTTGAATTTCGTGTGTATCATAGGTATTGCTCCAGCAAGTAAACTTCCTGCTTTGGCGTGTTTGTTTTTCTCGCATATCACTCGTCTCCTGTGTGCTTAATATAGTGTACTCCGAGAAAGAAAATCAGAGAAAAAATAATTAAAAGAAAAAAAAAATTAAGAGTGAACTCTCTCAAAAATCGCGTTAAGATAAACATTGATAAGCGCGTTAAAGCCGCAACAAGCGAGACAAAAAACTTGGTGTTTCTTTCAACAAAAGTAATTGCATTTCACACACGAGCATTGTTTTTTTTTTTGTTTTTTTGTTTTTTTTTCGTTTCTTTTTTATCGAGAGTATGACTTTCACGATGTAATTCAAACAAAGTAAACTGATGACACCCTCCCCTAACCCGACTCTGAACGTCACTAAAGGTGGTGATGGATATATTAAGTAGGCTATAAATGTAACGTTGTATTTAAAACACGATAACGAGAAAAATGGCAGCTGTGATCTGAAGAGTTTTTTTTTTTTACGTAGTAGTGGACCTCTATGTTACAATTAGCGCCTTATCGGTGTGTTTCTTTGCAAATATTTATAAAAATAAATACTTTGAGAGAAGTATTTCGCTTTTCGCTTTCTAACCGTAAAAAGTCTCGACACATATATCATATAAATATAGATATATATATATATATCGGAGCGATATTTAATAAATAATTATTAAAAGTCAAAAATAAATAAATAAATTTGCTTCGTTCAGCGTATTCGTTTTCGCATACGTTTAATATACGATTTACAAAATATATATAAGGCGTCGGCTTATCGTTTATTTAAGGATTCGTAGTGTGCCGCGCTCATTTAAAAAAATATGAACAATGTTCGATTTCGAGCGTTACGTTTTCTGGATACTTAGCGAGAAGGTCGATTTCAATGTACATATCGTTAAAACTCGCAAAGTTCGTTATTATTACTCTTCTAGGTCTTTCGTATAGTTTCGTTTTGTGTTGTGCGAACTCTCTTATAAATTAATTGACACCGGAAATCGCGCGCGCGCGCGCGCGCGCGAACATCAGCGCCGGACTGTGCGCGATTCGTAATGCACAATTCGCAGAGATTCGTTGACATCGCACGTGTGTAAAAATCTTCCGCACTATTCGCAGTTTGTCAATCGCGTGGATCAGCGTGAATCGCTGCAAATGACAAACTTTTTCCCCTCCACATCTTATTTCACGAATCTTACGACTTGAATTACGAATTTGATGATTCGCAAGTTTCGAATACGCGCATAGTCGCGCGGCGCTGTGTAGGTTTTGTAACACGCGCACGAGATTCGGCAATCGCTACAAAGAAAAAAACATACTTGAGACTCTCACACATAACACATGATTTACACTACGTGATGTGATAAAGTTGTAAAAAAAAAAAAAAAAAAATTCAATCGGATTCCGATAAATTTAATTCAAAAACATAGTTTTAAATTCGTTTTAAATTCGAATCACGCTACAACAGCTAGCAAAATCGGTAGATTCAATATCTATGTTTTTTTTGTTCTCTCAGTTCGACACACTTAGATTCCTTTGCGTTAAAATTGCGAATCACGAGTCGAAAAATATATATATATATATTCTTTTTCGAAATATAATTACACAAAATGTCGAATATATATAAAATACTTTAGAATAAATATTCGATATATAGAAGAAAATATTCGATATATAGAAGAAAATACAATAATACTACTGCACAATAATTCGAGAAGCGCCTCTTGACCATCGTGAGTTCTTTTCTTTTTTGACATAAATCACAAGCACGATTCAAGAGGTCTCGAAGTCTCAAGATTCAATCTTCGATTTTCGCGTTCGCGGAAAATTACGAAAAAAAAAAAAAAAAAAAAAAAAAAATGTACAAGATCTTAATTACTCTTGGCACTTGTGTTTTCTCAAAAAACCAAAAAAAAAAGTATAATATAAAATTGAATATAATGTAAATGTGATTTTGATCGTTCTTCTACATACCGTTTGAACGCGGTATATGGAAGAATAAACTTGTGTAGCAAAATACACATTATATAAGAAGAGTATATTAATTTCGAACTTCGTGTCGTGTATTAGTTTTTACCTTTTTTAACGAAAGGTATCCATTATTGTCGCGTAACAGACTTAATATAAGTACGTTTCTCTTCCTTCGTACGTATATCTGATATGTGGTTTTCGTTTGCGCGGGAAGATATTCAATCGGTAGATTTAATATCTATTTTTTTTCTTTTTTTTTGTTCTCTCAGTTCGACACACTTAGATCCCTTTGCGTTAAAATTGCAAATCGCTCACTTTCTCATGAACTCCCCGATGTTCCAACAGCCTCTAAGTATGTATATGCGCACATATAATAATTATTAGTATTTAGTGTAATGACTGATATTATACATATTGTACTCTCTCATACTGAATTCGTATTACCACATGAAAATACGTTAGAGTACGAAAAAGTAGGATAAGTTTTTAGGCATTTTGTTTGTTCATCCGTTCGTCAAAGGATGAACTCTGAGTGTGATTCTTTCTTTCTTTCCATTTGTATGTATAATTGTTTTTTTTTTTTTTTTTTTTTTCATTAATATTATATTTAATGCTTATCTATAGATCGGATTCGCCGTATAGAGCCGTCGAGAAAGAGCGGTAGTCCAGCGCCCCGGGAATAGCGCCCGGTCCCTTGAACGGTGGCATTCGCTGAATACAATATTCCGCCTGATCCGGCGGCAGTTCTCTCCTCAGTTCGTCCGGCAGGATATAAGGCTGAAGCACGAGGAGAATTTAGACGTGACGAGATGCGCGTTTTATTCGCTGCAGATAAATCGAATAAAATTTGAATGTTTTTACCTTGTCGCCAGCAAGAATGCGGAAGCTGTCGATAACTTGTTCCGCCGTGTCGGTATCGGTGGATTCACGTGTCATGAAGTCGAGGAAGGCGTCGAAGTGCACGTAACCCGAATTGTTAGGATCAACAATAGCCAGAATACGTTGGAAGTCGATGTCACCTTGTCTATCCTTGCCAATTGAGTAACCCAAAGACACAAGACAAGATTTAAACTCATCCGGTGCCAATCTGCCTGTCCTGTTTTTGTCAAAGTGATTGAAACTACTGCGGAATTCGTTTAGCTGCTCCTGAGTGATGCCCTGAAATGAACATGCGCTTGTAATTATTTCTTCATGTTCTGTCAGAGTAACCCACATGAGTGTATCAAATATACAAATTAAAAAATTTGGAAATACCTTTGAATCTCTGGTAAGAATTTGATTCTCGACTTCATTAATGTTGCGATTGATCGAGGTCAGAAGCTGTTCCCAACCGACACGCAACGTCTCCATGGTGTACTGAGTATAGCGGTTTTCGAAAATCATGCCTTCCTGAACCGCTTGGTGGATCTTTTCCAGTTCTTCAAGATGAGCCTTATATTGATAGACTGCTTGTTCGTATTCTTTGAGACGATGTAGCTGATCTTCCAGAGTTCCCTGAAAAAAAAAAGAACACATACGCAACATTGGTAAATTTACAGGCACTATAAAATAAAAATATTCTACATATAAAATCGATGTCTTTTACCAACCTGAAGACCGAGACCAATTGCAGTCACTGCATCTAACTGACGTTCTATCCATGGTCCAACGACATTAGCTTTCTCGGCGAATTGTCGTCTGAGCAGTTCATTATCTATTTTCATCTATTTCAGGAAATATCTTTTAAACCGTACACACATACACACACACAATCGCTAAAAAGTGTTTTATTAGAAACTATCGATATCGAAGAAATTTGAATGTTGTGGGACATAAAATAAAGGATACTTTGTTGCTTGCGAAGTTCAGCAGCCAGAGTAGCATCGCGTTGAGGTATCAATTGTCTGACATCGCTCCATTTCTTGGTGAGGTCCTGCATAATAGATAATATATTAATTAACTTAATGTCTATTATTTATTTTACTAACAATCTATAATCGTATCTATCCATGTCGTACCATTGCAGTAAGAGTGGTATACGGATTTTCTAGGCCGCCGGGTATTTGATACTGCTTGACTATGGATTCGACCTCGCGCACGAGTCCCACGATTGAGTTGTACTCCTTGTCTGCTTCGCCGAGAGTTGCTTTGAACGCAGCGTGTGCGTCCATCAATCCTTGAATTTCCTCCATTGTATGAACGATAAACATGTCCACTAAATCTTCCCTGGTTCCGTCTAACCAATTGTTGAAAGGCTAGAAAATGATCGTCAAATATTAGAATTTGTTCGGATGCAGAAAGGTGATAGTTCAGAATATAATCGAATACTCACAGCAGCGCGTTTGGCAAACTCCAAATGTAAGACGTCGATCTTCTCCAAGATTTTTTCAGCTTCGTCGAGAGCCTGACGTCTACGCTGGGTGAGCGTACCCAATCGATCCCACTGATCGCAAATACGTTGACATCTTGCATTTACGGATGCACTGTCGTGATACTCGAGAGTGCTGTAAGCAGCGCATCGTGCAATAAAATTAGGAAAAAATTTAAACATTCGACGAACGTTCAAAGTTTGACTTGAGATTTGAACTCACTTGAGTTCTTGAGCAATAGCCGCGATCTGTTCCACGCGGTCCTGATGAGCTGCGAGATCTGACTCGAAAGCTTCGTGTTTCTTTTTCAAAGCCTTGAGTTCGTTCAATTTGCATTGGCGGAAGTGTTGAGACGTGAGCATCTCCTCTTTACCAGCGGTCCACTCTTCGTGAGCGTCCGCTTTGTGCTTGAACTTCTGTGCCAAATGTTCTAGACGTTCCAGACGCATCATTTCGGACAACAACCAATCCTCGAACGTTTTCTCGGCCAACTCCAGACCTAAGAATTTTTTATGCATAAAAGTCTTTTAGTCCGCTCGGAAAGAAAACTAGATTACAGAGAGAGATTCTGTGAAAAAAAAACGGGCACCTCTCCAAGCTTTATTGATGTCGGACACCATTTTTCCTTCCGTCGGCATGTACGCCGGCCTGTTGCTCAGCCTTAGCTTCGTCTGCAAAGTATTGAAGTTTGTTTCGAGCTTGGCCTTTTGTTCGACACGCGGCGGCTTATGTTTGCGCCGGTAGGTTCTGTACTCTTCCAGCTTTTTCTGACAGCCAGCGAGAGAATTGTCGGTCTGTCGATTCGCGAGCCAAGGCATTGTTCGTCGGATCCATTCAAGCAGGTCGGAAGCCAAACGTTCGTACTCTTCCATGAGACGCTCATTTTCTTGATTTACTTTCAACACTTTGCAAATTCTGTTAGCCGCTGTCTCTGCCTACAAGAAAAAAACATTCGTAATTTGTGCTTTTACGTGAACACGTGTCGTGTATTAAACACATAAGTAATACATCTCCGAGAACATATAAAGTTAACTTTCATTGAACATGCAATCGCGCGAATAGTCGTTTGAAAAAAAAAAAAACAAACAAATCTGAGGACAAATTAAAAGTTTGATTTTCGCAGATCAAAGAACTTACGCGCAACCATTCAACGCGCATTTGTTAATTCGAAAATGTGAGAAAACACACCTTTTGCGCCCCGCTAAAACAGTGGTAGTATGAGGAAACATAGGTCATCACGGCCCTCTCATCAGGCATTGCCGTATTTCGCATATCTAGAAAAACACATTCGAGGAAACTCAAACCATGCGTTGTTAGAGCGTGTATAAAAACTACTTGCTGTTAAGAATTTGATTAACTTTAACAATGGACGGAACTTGAGAAAGGGCGGAATGTGTGATTAGTAATTTTCATCGTAACTTTCAAGGTTTCGTTTCTTTTTGCACACATGATGAATGGTGTCGCAATTTTTTTGCGCTGAAAAGAAAATAACATACGTAATTCTCTGTTACGGTGATTATCTCTTCTTCTTCGTTAAGAAAATATTAAAACAACAAAAGGTGCATACTTCGTTTCGGGGAAGTCTTCTGGCGAAACAATTAAAATTAATAACAATGTGGGAGCAAGGGAGTAATCAATTAGAGCAGGTCCGAACGTCGTTAACACGGTAAGCGTATAAATTCACTTGCAGATCGTATTAATGGTCGCTTGTTTATAAATGACGGAGAGGAAATTAATGAGCAAACACGCATGTTTCTTTTTACGCTGACCTGCTGGGCACCTTGGAACGCGTGGTAGTAGCAGGACACGTATGTCATGATAGCTCGCTCATCCGGCTTGGGAGTGTTGATCAAATCTATATGATATCAAGGGAACATATAAAACACGTGTGAACGTATACTCAGAGAAATCTGATCGTAGCTCCGTGTCTCGCAAATAGCATAAATAGCATACCTAAACTCAGCGATTAATCACGATATAATCTCTTCGTTCTTATTGCAAATTATTTCGGATAAAACATTTTTTTTTTTCGATACGACACTCGACGATCTGTGCACTCACCGTCGGGATCCAACATACGAGGAATGTCGAGATACTTTTCAGCGACATCAAAGGCAGTGTTCAGATTTTCCAGTGGGTTGTCCTTGCTGAGTTTGTTGTAGTCAATCAAGTCGGGTCGATGACGATGGATAAGGGCGCAGAACGCGAGACCGTCCTTGAACGACAGGTGGAAGTTTTGAACGTTAACGTTTTTGTACGGCGCCGTCTTGCGCTGGCACCAGAGCAACAATCCTTCCTTTGCGGTCATCTCTTCCACGGAAATGTCTTGAATGGCGAATCTCAGAATAATGGTCCATATCATGCCCAAGGTCATTTTTAAGTTGCCGTCCACGATTTCTGAAGGAGATAATTCGCGATATTTCAGAAACGCACGTGTGACATACATGTTAAAATGACATAATAAAAATTACTTCTCTGATGACACAAGGCATTGATTGACACAAGTTTCTGAGAGCGACGTGTGTGTATTATTGCAACGAGTTTCGAGAGAAAAACATACCCTCTGCGCCAATTGAGACAAGCTTGACGCCTTTGCTGGCGATGTAATCAAGGGCCTTGTTCACATTGGCGATCTTGTGAAATCTCATTTTGCCTCTGTCGGGTCTGGGTAGAGTCTCGCCCGAGATCACCTCGAGCAGCAACATCAGTTTCAACCCATTTCTGAAATCGTCTTCGATCGATTCGATGGAGGTGCCCGCTTTGCGTAGGTGCGAATTGCACCAGGCTGTGAAGGTCTGTGATCAAACAAAAAGAAAATCATCATGATTGAGCGAGCGTTTTGATTTCACGCGCTGCGTGAAAAAAAAAAAAAAAAAAAATGTGATTGTCGAGCAAGCGAAACGTCCTACTCGATTTTTTTTGCACACACTGGCGATGATGTATCACGAAGAAATAATCATTTAAAATGGGAGATTGAGTTTCCTCGCTATACTGCTTAGTGTATATTTTAGTAGCGACCCCGATCCCTCCCGCTATATATATCTTCTGTCCTGGTTCTCAAACCACAAGCTTCCTATCGTTCTGTACAATGATTTTCGAATAATCTTTTTTTGACATCTGTGCTGAAATTGTCCAGAACGCACGTTACACGCTCTATTGCAAAGCAATTTTTTCCTCACATACGCAAAATATGTTCGCGCGTTTCGAATGCTCGCAGCGAAATCGACTATCTATCGCAAAGACGATCGAGTTGAAGACAAATTATTTCCATCACAACGTTGAATTTTTCTGAAACTCTTTGAAGTTACACACATCGCGCGTAATAAATCGATGCTTTCGAAACACCACCCCCTTGCTTTCAAAGACAACAATTTTCGCGATACACAAAAATTTATTGACGCAAGTTGCGTGTCTACAACACGAAACGAAAAACGCGAGTCTGTCTACTAGGTTTAGGGTAAATATAAATCGGGGAGAAAGAGAGAGGAACACACACGCAGGTTCGCGATACATATATATATATATATATTTATATTCGAATATTGGTGGAATAAAGCGCAACACACATCGCACCGTTCGCTCGAGGTCAATAAAAAAAAAACCCCGGTCTGGCGGTGAAATTTTTGAGTCGGAAAAATATTGCGTGAAATTCAATACGGGCGGCGTTGAAGTACGACGGGCCAATTTTGGACATGAGCCACCCTCCTAACATCTCTGCACGCGCTCTAAGATCTATTTGTAAAACATTGACTCCTCCCGCGCCGCGTATTAAAGCATTTCAAACACATTTCCGAGAGAGTCGTCCTCCCTCCCCCCCCGTTGTGTTTGTTATTTAATAATTGCATCACGCAAAACGTGTCATCACTCCGCGTTACGTCACTTCGATTCGTAATACGACTCGTAAGTGCACAAATTAATCTTATTTGCTCTCTTCACATTTCGATTTTTGTTAATCGGGAAAAAGGCGCGGAAAATGTTTACGTTCGAATTATGTAACGAATTTTATTTGCACCGATCGATGTCTCCGCGCGCGCGGTTTAATCAGATACACGTCTTAAGAAAACACGTAGCTCTGCCAGTGCAAATAATTGCGCAATAATAGATAAATTGAGATTGCAATTTTCTTTCGTGTCACATATTTGTCCGTACGATTGTCGTCACATCGTGACGTATCCCCCGCGTAATTCAATCGCACGTCGCTTATCGAAATCTCCACATCCTGCGATATATATATATATATATATATATATTTATATCAATGGAAACGGTCTCTATACATATGTGCGAACACAGCGGCGCCGCTAAAAAAGCGCGTCGTTGCGGATAGAGGAATGCGATAGCCGATGCATTTGCGCTGATAACGCGTAATTTTCTATTTACGTTCGCGTGTGTGAGTGCGAACGTATAATGCGACCATTCGCACGTTTTTCGGCCTACGTTGACGCGCGAAACACGCGCCCGCGGCCGTTTCCAGAGACGATTTACACAACGCGCGATAATAAATTTCATCTTTCTCGATTTACGCGGCAATTTACGTCCGCGAATCTCGACCAAAAAATAATTTGCGATCGTATTATGCAGGAAAATGTGCGCTCTCTCTCTCTCTCTCTCTCTCTCTTTCTCCCCGCGAGACTATTCTTAGAGATTTCTTCGGCGGTTTTATTTTCTCCTCGTGCGCGAGTTCTGCAAGACAGAAAAAAAATATATAACTAATCGATATTAAGACTTGGCTTTAAAAAAATTAAAGTGAATTTAATTAATTTTCTAATTTAATTAGTCAACGTTATTTCATTTGTATATAAAAGCTGATTTCGATCGAGTTGAAAAGAAAAGATGGCGAGTAAAAAAATTGTGAGAAACTGGGCAATTGGGCAGCGAGTTATGCAAATTTGTCGAATCGACCGCGCGCGCGGGAGAGCAGACAAAACAGCCTAAATTCCACGCGCGTCTAATTTACGTAATTCGGGAATCTTTTGAAGTCCCACGCGCGCGAATAAAATTCTGTCTCGAAAATCTGACAACGGATTTCGCGCATCGCCTGTTCTTTTTTCGTGTCTTATCGAAACGTATGGCGCCGCAAATACGACATGTGTAATAACCTTCGGATAAGGTAAGTGCGTAAAGCGTGACTAAGGTAAAAACGACGCAAAGATAAACGACGACAATGCGGAAAATTTTCGCGGAAATATTTGCTCCGGGACTTTCGTTGCTGTTTTTGTTCTCTATCTCAGTGTTCTCGTAATCCGAGAGAACGAGAGAAAAACAAAAACAATCCAACTTGAGGAACTTGAAATCACGGGCCGGAAATGCATTCTCGTGTTCTCGTAATCCAAGAACGAGAGAAAAACAAAAACAATCCAACTTGAGGAACTTGAAATCACGGGCCGGAAATGCATTCGTAATTATTCCACGGCGACCTTTCGAGCCGGTCCAATAACTGGCCGAGAATAAGTAATCGTAGGTGTGTGTGCGACAAAATATCTGCGTGATGAATCTGCGTTTGGCGCGCGCAAGATCCGTGGGCACAGACGAAGACTCGCCCAAGAAAAATAATCGAGTTGCTATTATACCGCACTGTTATTCGCGGTTGCTTTGTTTTATCTATTTACGTGAAGTCGAGCCACCTATATAAATGTATTCTACTCTTTATTTTCATCGATTTCTTTTTTATCTTTTCCTAATTTTTTTTAACTTAGAGGATCGGCCTGTAGTGGCTCTGTATCTGCAAGATAATTTTTTTATAAAACGTTGTGTGTATACAAGTTTTGGGTATCAAATATACAAGGAAAAAATGCTCTCGAATCGGTCCAAAGATTAATGATATTGTTTGCGTAAACAAATCGCGATATCGCGTTTTATATCGTCGTGCATCTCATTATTGACGTTTTATTTTTGTACTTCATTACGTGAGGTCGCATTGTCACCGAGTGACAATGCTCTTAAGTCAAAATATGGCATGCGTGTGGGTCACCCGGTTTTATTTGGGATTTGGCGCGCGCCCCCGACCAGAGCATCCGAAAGGTTAACGATCCTCCCGACGTGGCGGAAAAAAGAAATCGATCGAGCGAAACTAAACCGCGATTACAAACGCGAATTACGCGTTATCGTTATTTCCTCCCCGTCGCGCTTCCCTCCAATCCCGAGGGTTTTGCTCGGACAATACGACGACGACGACGACGCCGCCGCTTGCCAAATTGGCATGACACCCGTCAAACGTTAAGTGTGCAAGAAGGAAAAGCAACCGTAAAATCGCAACACACCGTGAAATCGTAAATCAACAACGTCAAGGACAGCTTCCTCGGAAGAGCGCTCAGGTAAAGTCTGCAACTCTCTCGACGAGTTCTCGACGTTACGGACGACTTACGGTCTCCGACCGTAGAAATACTTTCAATCTCAAACGTTAAGATGTAATTAAATTAAAATCTCGTCCCACATGTGTGTGTACGAAGCAACCCGGTGTTTTGGAAAAAAAAAATCGCGCGGAGAGTCCGATCCGAATTTCCAACACGGATTTCTGAACCGAATCGTCGAGATCTATGACGAGCAACAAGAAGATCGACAAATCTCCATCGTCAATTTCTCGTCCGAAAATTCTTCGTGGAAGAAGCGCCGCCGCCGGGGCGTGATGCGACGTCCCGCGACGTCGTCATCCCGAAGTCGTCTGATCGGAGGATGTGGACCCCGACTATGATCGACGACCGCGCGCACGTCTTTATCTATTTATACGGTCTATTTATACGTAACGTCAGACGTGCGAACAGCCGCGAAAAGCTACAGTATCGTTCTCTCGTTGACGAGACGAAGCAAAGTGTTTCACGATGCTACTGACCAGAGCAAGTGCTTCTTCAATTACTTGCCGGTCGCGGCTCGTTGCGACAATTAATCATCGGTATTCAATTTCGCACCGTGCAAATGTCCAACGAAAACACGAAGCTATCAAATACCTGAGGTTTATTTATTTATAGAATATCGCGGTGAGACGAAGATCGCATCCCTCGGTCAAAACGTTTTCAATTTGTTAACTTTGTGATCAAAATTCGAAAACACACCAACCGCGCGGCGTGTTTGGACTCCTATTGGATTATTTTTTCTCATTTTTTGAAGTCTTCTCATTTTTATTCGCTCACGATGCCTCCGCTAGGCACGCACTTCCGTCCGCAAAAAAAAATAGATCAAACGATTAAATATTGATCAGCTACAGAAACGGAGATATACACAAAGACGAGCACGATCGTTTGCGCGAAAGATTAGTCTGTAAAAAAATATTACCGAAGATGCATCGCGAGCCGTTAGCGCCCGTTATTCGGCCTAACCGTTCGATTTTATCCGGTAACGATGATTTGCTTTGCGCAGCTGCTGCGACGACGACACGGATTTAAATATCGGAGGCGAGAACTCCGGCGTCGTCGACACAAGCGAAATCAATCAGCGGTCTGTGTGATTATACGGTACTCGCGGAATGTAACCCGACTCTCTGAATAAATTATAAACGCGTATCTGATGATAATTATGCACCGGTAGATGCGCGCAAGAGTAAAATTGATAGTCACCGCGGGGGGGGGGGGGGGATCAAAACGGGTGCCGATTTCATTAAGAAGACGTATCGCGCGATCATGTTCGTTGAAATTATTCCGGGTGATACCTATTTTCAGAAGCGCGAGAGAAAGCGAAGAGAGCAAAACGGAAACACATAAGAGAGATCCGATGATCCGCGAATAGAGAGAATTCGCGCGCACACCTGACTTCTCGTTCTTTACTTCTATCTCAGTTCGAAGAAAGAAGATATGGAGACGAGAGAAGAGACAGAAATAAAATTCAAATAAAAAAAGAAATTCTATACTGAGATTGTTAAATAAAAAATAACACGGAAATTTAAAAATATAATTTTGATGACATGTTATTAAAAATCGTTTAGGAATATTTAAATAGAGACTAAATTTGTCGAAAAGCTCGAAATATAAACGTTTAAATTAACAACCTAACCGATGTAATTAATTTTTTTTTTTTTTTAACGCACGTATCTCGATCGTGTTTGATATCTTTCCTCGGATCCAATTGTTATCGCAAAGTCACGAAAGTGCGTGTTCAACAATCTGTAGTTCCTCTGCTTGACTTGGAGGAAACATAAATCTCTTCACGGGCAATTTGCCTCAACTTATAGAAAATGTCTCGCGCATTTTTTTAAACGGAATAATATATACAAACATCCGAACCGCTAGCTAGATTGTGGACCTCGGATTTCTGTTTCTCAATACCGCCGAGTGTGCGTCTGCATCACTGACTGGTCAAGGCGATTACAATATCAATAACATAAACGAAGTGACGACTCACGGTTGACATACTCCGGTATCTGCCGACCGACTCGATGAGGCAATAATAAGAAATATTTATCGCAGTAACCACATAAAACGCGCGCTCAAACATAAAACATCTACGACAGTCAAACGCGTGGCAACGTGAACAACTAGAGTCATCACCGAGGCACGTGTTTTTAAATCGTAATTGTAAAAATTCTGGCGAATCGAATCTCTAAATTATTTCAAACACAGAAGGCACTGCTCTGCCTGAAACTATAAGGGGATCGAAGCTACAACGTACAGTCGAATAAATCTCTGAAGACCGCGTAATCTACAAGCTTGTTGAGCACAGATGTTTTCGCGACCCATTTGCACGCGTTCTCAGAGAAAAATTTCCTATCGCCGGTACATGCGCTTCGCGAGCCGATGTGTGTGTGTGTGTATGCGCGAGGGGAGGCTGACACACGAGAGACCGGAGATTTTATGGGAAATTCTCCTGTACAGTTAATCGGCCCGACGTGGTGTCGCACACCGACCACCTTTTCTCTCTCTCTCTCTCTCTCTCTTTCTCTCCTTCTCCGTTCCGCGTAATGATGTGTCTAAGCGATACTATTAATTGGCTCGGTTCTCTCTGTCATATATCCCATATCATTCCCCGAACAAAGTAGATACGGACGACGATATTCCAATGACACGGTGCGGAGTTTCTCGATTTCCTGTTTTCTAGAAAACAAAACCCACGCACACAAACGTGTGTGTAGAAATTTCTCGTTAAATAGAGTCCGCTGGTTATTTTTTCGTTGAATGCAACACACACACACACACACACACAACTCTGAAACATACGCAGTGTAATAATTGTTTAACAATGACACACATACTGTGTTTCGTAAAAGTTTTATTTCGCAACGCGCATCGAATGTTTTCCCATTCGCGCGATTGAAATAAAAAGCCGTTGACGCGGCCTCAAGAAAGCAACCGACGACTTCGAGGTGACATTGTAGTTACACGACGGGTGAAAGAAACTATTGACTCTCACTTTTCCGTGCGCTCCGTGTAAATAAAGTGTGTTTCAGAAATTTCTCGAGAGTTGAAATTACACTCCTCTCTTTTTGTTTTTACGTTCTCTCGGATGTTTTACATTCATTTTACTTATTTCTCGCACGACAATAAAAGTTTCTTTTTTTTTTTTTTTTTTTTTTTTGTAAATCCTGTCATTGCACTGTCCCGACTCCGGCACCTCGCGCGGATATAATTTCTTTATATAACATTTTAACGATTACGTTTTTCCTCGCGAATAATTTAACTTTTTTTTTTTTTTTTTTTTTTTTTATTGTAAATCGTTTCTCTCGCGAACAAGACGAAATGAAATCGAAGAACACAACTTTCTCGCTCTCCGTGTTTCTCTTCGTGTATTAAACATTTCTCTTCTTCCGGTGCGAATTCACGGAATGAACCGGTTGTCGTCATAATTCCGTCATTTCCAGACCGGAAAACTTTGCCGTAAGCTTTTCCGCGAATCGCGAGCGAAATCTTCTGTGTTATCGCGCGATTCGACAAACGGAACAAATTTTCGCCGCCGTCGCCGACGCGAACGAATAGGCGTCGGTAATGCGGGTTTTCGGGCCGCGTTTCCGGAACGGGGCACGCGGATCTCTAAAATTAGAGGCGTTACGAAAAATCGCTCGCTGTCGGCGTCGACGACGACGTCGAGAGAGTCGACAGCAGCGATGATTTCTCAGGGACACACTTTATTGGCGTGCGCTAACAATTATCAGTGTCGCTTATCTAATGTACCTGACAAGACGCCGTCGGCGGGCGGGCGGGCAAACGCGCGCGCGCGCGCGCGGTATCACGCGGACTAAAAAGAATTAAGGAAGATAACGAAAAAAAGTCCACGACGATCGGCTATACGAGAATCACGTACTCGCGGAGGCGTGAGTCACCGCTCGATTATTTTTGTCATAAAGTCTGAAAATACAATCCGAAGGGCTGCGGCGCGCGGTCGATATAATACGAGAGAGGCGGAGGCCTCCACACCGAGAGAGAAGCCTTGAGCCTCTGCCAAAAATGAGGAAAAACACTTTGCGAGCGCGTACTCGAGAATGCTCCAATTTATCAGTATCTAGTGACGCCACAGCGAACAGAAACACTGTTTTATTCGAGTGTTTTAATTAAATCGCGCAAAGGTCACATATCTCTCTCTCTGCGTGTACTGTTTCTTACATCAGCTAATGCGAAGAGAGAGAGAGAGAGAGAGAGAGAGAGAGAAAGAGAACAAGGATAGTTCTTTCTTCACATGTCTCATCATCACAGATAATGTTACGTTCTACTCCGCATAGTAGCGTTTCCTCGGGAAGATCGTTTCATCGAATCTAAAACGCCTCCATTAAATCCCCAGCATTAAGATTAGACGGAACCTTTCTAATACAGTGATGGGATGCGAGTGGAATGTTATTTATGTGAGGAATTCTCGATCGCGCTCACGAGGTGGGAACTTATCTTGTGCGCCGCCGCTTACGTTTGCATCGAACTGCTAAATCGTATCGCAATCCGGCGATCTCCGGCAGTTCTATCTCTAGTAATTGCAATATTCTCCCGTGACACACACGTCTTACAATTTGTAACTGACAGTTACATTCGCATCGCTTCTGCAAAACAACATGTTTCAATATTCGATGTTTAAAATTCACGCTTACACAATAAATACAAAATTTTTATTTGCGATAAGAAGTCTATTTACTCTATGTGGAAACCTATATACTCGAGATATAAATTTCTCTCTCAATTTCAATCTCAATCAAATTACTGCTTTACACAAACGCGCACTTGTGTGTTAACTAAATTGTTCAATTAATCTGATAAGATAATCGCGCCTCGAAGCAAAACTGATGCCTCGCCTGATGGGCGCGTCTTTTATTTTTGAGTGAATTACAAAATATACAGACTAGCCCGCGCACTGTTGCAATTAATTAACGCCGACTGTGAAGCAGCGTGTCTTGTTCGCGCGCTTCGCAGATCTCAAAGCGGCGGTCGTGTTCGAAATAAGAGAGAAATAGAAAGAAGTAAAAAAAAAAAAAGAAAGAAAGAAGTTCTTCGAACTTTCTGATAATGCACTTCGCTCACCTTTTTCTGCTGTTTCTCCCAGGCGGGATCCAACAGACCCTCCCTCTCCCATTCCTCCTCCGGTGCCATGTATCCGTCCCCGTAGGCTTCCATGTCGTTCATCCCCTCGCTCGTGTGCGTGTCTCACGTTCCTTCAAATCCGAGCGCCAAACAAACAGAAAAAAAAGTTGTAGTGTCACCACGGTACTTCAAAACGCAACGCGTTCCGTTCCGTTACAACGGGAAATATTTAGCGGCTGAACAACACACACAGAAACAGAGAGAGAGAGAGAGAGAGAAAAAGAGAGAGAGAGAGAGAGAAAGGGAGAAGACGAGGAAGGAGAAGTCGCGAAAGTCCGAGAGAAACGCTTTTTCGGAGCGGTTTGAGAGACAACGCTCGATCGAAAGATCGATGTGTCTCCTCCGCGTACGGGAACGGTCGTTCCCCGGTGACAGCGACGCGTGTACCGAGACCGAAAAAAGAGGGGAGGGGAAGAAGGGAGATAAAAAGGGGGAGAGTGCACGACGGGAAGTATATACCGCGACGAAACCAAAGGGGGGCGATCGCGGTGAGTTCCCTGGGATAAATTACCGGCGAAAATTGAGAGAGAAAGAGAGAGAGAGAGAGAGAGCGAGCGAAAGGAGTGCGCGTGTGTGAAAAGTCGGCAGAGAGAGAGAGAGAGAGAGAGAGAGAGGAGAAATAAGAAAACGCGTGAAAAAAAACACAAAAAGTAACCACAGCGAGACCTCAAGACGTGAGAGAAAACGTACCCGCTAAGCCCAGAAAACGTTTCAGTTTCGTGTCGTTCTTTCCCTCGCGCTGACCCCTCTGCCACGAGTCTCTGACACACGGTTCGCTCGCCGGCGCACAACCCCCCCCCCTCCTCCACCTCCACCAACGCAAATCCCCCCTTCGCAGGGGAGGACGAGGGTCTCATTCGCTCTCCTCGCCATTTAACGCCGGAGAAGAGGGGGAGGGGTTAGATCCCACCCATTGATTCCCTTCTAAATTTTCTCTCCTTCTCGTTCGTTTCTTTGTCGAGAGTGAATGTTCGGCAAAGCAACAATTGCAAGATTCTTTGTTTTTTTTTTTTTTTTTTTTTTTTTGTTTCGCGCAAACCTCGCGAACGGGTTCTTGTTTTGGAATCACGGCGAAAACGCGCCGCGACACGCGTATGTACACGACGAAAGAATCGCGCCGACAACTCTTTGGAGCATGCAAATTGCCGTGACAGCTCGCGGCTACGTAGCATTGATCAATTATTGCAATTCCGTTTGTCTCATCATGATCAGTGTGTACATGCATGCGTATTGTTGGTGGTCTGCCGACGCGTTCACCGGAGCGACGTTTTATTTTATATTTCGTAATGCAGCTGCTGCTGCTGCTCCCCACGGAGGAGGATAAATGCGCGAGGTGGTAACGTCGCGTCACGGATCGCTACATACGCAGCCGCCGCCGGGCTCATCGGCCGAAACTAACCTTCGTATCTTTTCTGCTCGCTCGCTTGCTTGCTTGCTTGCTCGCTTGCTCGCTCGCTCGCTCGCTCGTTTGTTTGATCGCGCGCGCACACGCACGTACGCACGCACGCACGTACGCACGCACGGACGCACGCCAGCTGATCCGCAGCTCCGCGAAGGATGTGGAGACGACGAAAATAGCGTCGAGAACGAGCGCCACGGCACCTCATTCACCCACACACACGACTAAAATAGGACCGACGCGCGGTCCGTCGAAATTTCCGAATCGACCGGAGCGACGCCATTTCCCGAGTGTTCTCAAGATTTTTGCTAACGGCACGAACCAGCCGCGCGAAGTAGATAGGAGTCCACTTTGGTTAAGAGCGACATTGTCGACCTTGCTGATTGGCCGTTGAATAGGGAAGTTTTGGCGGTTCTTACCCGATATCCAATCAGCGAGCTCGAACGTTGAGACCAATCTGAAATGCAGAATTAAATTCTGAAATAAATTCTAAAATTAATAAAATAAAATATAAAAAGTTTTTTACGCACGTATTGTTTTTATCTTTAATTGGAAAATAAAATCTGTAATTGCAAAATTAAGATATTAGATTGTTCTTCGGAATCTGCGTCGGGATCAGAAATAAAATTACTAAGTAATAATAAACAGAAAATTAAAAACTATTGTCACTCGGGTTTTTATTTAATTACAATATAAAATACAGAATAGTTATAGTATATATAAGAAAATATGGTTTTATATAAAGCTCTAGAGTATCGTATTAATCTCACGTTTAAAAGAGAATCACACATGTATAATATTGCAATTATTTATTCTTTGTTATAAACGTTGAATTATATTAATTTAAAAAACAAAAAAAATTTTTAAAAATGACATTGTTTCGTAAAACCTCTCGAATAGTGATAAAACATATGTACAATTTGCAATGTTTCTCTCTTACGAAGTAGTTTACGAAATAAATGATATTTAAAATCGTGTGTCCATAATTCTCTTTTTAATATATTCTATACGTATATACATTATACACGGTTCTTTTTTCCATTTCCTTTCACTTACAACACTCTTACATTGCAAACAGCTTGGCAAGTAATTTTACTCGGCGATATTCCCTTTTTTATACACATAAATAAAAAAAAAAAATTGGTTAGCATTAATTGATGAACTCTGTATGTGCCATTGAGTTAGGACTGAGTAGTTGAAAGGCGTCAAAGAAGAACAGTTTTCTCTTGTTTGTCTGTCTGACTTTTATGTGACCATGATATGCAAGTATGTCGTTTTTATTTAGTACGTACTGAATTCAGTGGCACTTAACCGCCGTCATAAAACTCCAACCTGTTGAAAATTCTGGACGTCGTATAAAAAACAATTTAATTCATTATCGCAAATCACTCGTTTGCAAGTAGTAATACAGAAAGGATATAAAAGACTAGCTTAATAAATAACACTGGCTTAAACACCCAGACGACTAAAAACATTGGGTTTCTTGACGTGTTTCACAGTTGTTATTTTGTTAAAAGTAACTTGTTTGGCAGTGCCGAGGCGCGCCTTAGCCGGTATGGAAACAAGTCGTTCAGATGCTGCAATAACAAAAATTTATCAATATATAGAACCAATTGTTCACTTTTTCACACGAAAAAACTCTCTGTACCAACATTCAATCGAAACAAGAGCATATAAAAGTTCTGAGTAAAAATATTACAATATTAAAAATAAATCTTTCAGATGAATCTTAAAAATGTATATGTACGTACCTAATTTGCCAGATACAATAATAGGTTTGGTGCTTTTTTCACTGGTGGGTTTGCTGTCATTTGTTATTTCTTTTTTTAACTTGAATATACGACTTGTGCTGTTTAATGTAGCCTTCTTGCTCAGTTCATGATCAGCGTGCATAGTACCAGTCATTTTCGGTACTATTCTCTTGGTAGTTATGATTGACGTGCGTGCACTCGTCGTCTGATTTTTCAATATACCCGACGTACTGATGGTATCGGATTCATTCCTGAGTATACCCGCCGTAGTTACATGATCCTTTTTATCATCTATGTCACCAAGACGTTTGAAGACATTAGATGGTCTCTTGAATATATCCTTGCTGAGGCCGGTAATATTGAAAGTGGGCGTCGAGTCAACCACATTGGTCGTGCTTGTGACAGAACTGTCGCCTAATCTATCAAAGACTGTTCGTTTTTGTTCGGATTGTTTTTTAATTACTTGAGTTCTCAAGCTGGATGACTTTGGAACGGTGACGGAATATTCGAAGCCGTTATCTTCATTATTGTTTGTCGCTTTTAGTTTCTTTTCTGTGACATTCCAGTTATCTTCGTCGTTGTCTTCATAATCTTCGTCAGATACTAATTTACGTTTCAAAGGGGACTGCTTTTTGTTAACAGTATTGACGGCATTTGGTAAAGGAATTGACTTCTTTATAGTCACAATCTTTTTTGCAGGTACAGATTTCACTACCTTCTTTATGGGATCTGTCTTGGAAACTGTTGTTGAAATTGTTGTCTTATTTCCGATATCTTTGACTATTTTCTTCACAACAGGTTTTGCGGAAACTTTTGGAGTTGTCAGTGGTGTGTCTTCTGAGTCAACCAAAAATCTTTCGCATGTTGTTTCCTCAATGACTTTCTTGGCGTATCTTAAAATCGCAATCCTGTCACCCATCAAAGTAATACCCATTTCTTTGAGGCTAGGTTTGTCCAAATCGGGTAACATATCTGGTTTGATACGATTGTTTGAGAACACAACCGCATGTTTAGTAGCAACCTCCTGCGAGAATCCAGCTCCTTTAAAAAACTTAACCCAGTAAGCTAAAATAGAATAGAATGATTTTTTTATTGCTTTATGTACAGGAAAAAAGTTGTTTATGTTCGCGCATGAGTAATAAAATACATAGCTTGAAAATAAATAGTCAAGACATGAAGCACAAGCAAAACTTGTGGCATCGCATCTTACTTGTAAGTACATACATTTGTAAGAATTCTGAAAACACACACGTATCATACATAAAAGTCGAAAATTGTTAAAAAATAGGATGCCAGAACTTACCCGACAGAGATGCAGCCATATTGACGGTTAAAACTTACGATGCGAATATCGTTTTGTAGTTTTTTTCACAATTAATCCAGAAAAAAAGTGAACTTTAACAACACGCTCGATTCTTGTGCATATTTGCGTGGTAAAAGGAAACCCAGCGAAATTTCAAAATTAAAAAATGTGTAAAAGACACTATTTCAGTAAGAAAATAAAGAAAACACGTTCCCTAAATAGTGGTAGTTATTTGTGTCAATTCCAAATAGATCTCATATACAACATTTCGGGAGAGTAAGAGAGATTGAGAAATTATTATTAAACATCTATACGTGTGTACGAAAATTCCACACTTCAGAACTTCTATGATCCTACTCTTTGGCACCGCATCGTGAGTCAGTTTAGCCAACTTTTAAGATTGACCAACTCGATACATTCAAGCATCGATTGAGCGTCGCCTGTGATTGGTCAATTCGGTCACTTGATTGTCAATGCGGATTGGTCTCTTCCAATGAAATAATCACCTGACGAAGATAAATATCCAAATACATCTACAGTATTACTAGACCTTTCGGCGAGTTTGAACCCCCCTGTTTTCAGACGTCAAAAGACAAGAAAGCAGGTAAGGTTTATGCTTTATCTAAGATTTTAATATTTCTGTTTATACGCATTCGGCAATTTCGTATAAACGGAAGCATTGATCATGTTCAGCAGACTGAGCGGATCAGTGAGCGCTTAGTGATTCTTCAATACGATTGGTTTCTACACTTAGACCCAACGAAGATCTAAAGGCACGATTCAATGGCCATTGAAAATCCTATAGGCTTAGGCCTGGTTTATGCGGGCCAGAGAGAAACCTGAGAGCGGCCATCCTATTGTAATTTTTTACGACGGTTTCAGCCGCTGGTTTTAGTCGTATTTCCACAAAAGTGGAACTCAAAGGCCGTTCTACATTAAACGCAAGTCGCAGATCTCGTGGAATTGACCAATTGCAGAGTCAAATCAGCCAATCGACCAACGTGATTGATCAGTTCCACGAGACCTGCTACTTGAGTTTCATGGANAACGGCCTTTGAGTTCCACTTTTGTGGAAATACGGCTAAAACCAGCGGCTGAAACCGTCGTAAAAAATTACATTAGGATGGCCGCTCTCAGGTTTCTCTCTGATGCGGGCAAATAAGGCCTTGTTTTGGCCTTGTTTATGCGGGTAATAACTGTTAATTTATGCCGGAATTGGTACAGTTCAACTATAGGATTTCAATGCTTTTGTTATATTCTGTTATGCTTCTTTTAATAAACAGAAATATTAAAATCTTAGGCTCGCATAAACCAGGTCTTAGTTTACACCAATCGCTTAAGTAGGTAGTACGCGTAGTAAGTACTATATATTCGTATTAAATCGGCTTAAGTCTCAATAATATTCTAGGAAATATATAAGGAGCCTCGCAGTCTAGTTATATTATATCTATCTATGATTTCGATCGTCATCCAATTGCTGAAACGATTCACGTATTGACGAGCGTCAGTTCCGGAAAGAGAAAGTGAGTACTATTGCCTGCATCCGGTGTAGGCCATTTTGTTCTGATCCGTGGACGCTCAGCGGTTGCTTCGTTCTCATCTGCGTTTCTGTTAATTCTACCGACTGCGGTTCGAGTTGCTATATTTAAAGCGCTCGTCGTTAGTACGTTTTGTAGATCGGAATAAATTAGCCTCAGCCTCAGGCGAATTATCTCCATCTTTTCTGGCGACAGGGCGACGAATCTGTGGTCTAATGCGTGGCGTTTCAGAGAGCTCACCGACTCGCGCAATGGCGGAGGATTTGGATGTCGAGGCGATGCTGGAGGCACCGTATAAAAAAGGGGTATGCTTTGGTTTTTCTATCAATTTTATAATTCTGTCTCTCTGTCACTCCCTTGTCATTCTTTCTCTCTTTCTCTCTTTCTTCTTTTTCACTTTTATCTTGTCACCCGTCATATCGATTCACGCTCGTGAATTGCAATTACAAATTCTGGATGGCGCGAGGCGTGCCTTATCGTGTACGCTCTGCCACACATACGAGAGAAAGAGAATCCCACCATTGCTCCATTTGTCTCTTTCTCTCACTCTCTGTCTCTCTATTTCCTTTCTTTTTTTTTTTTTTTTGTGTGGTACATGTGTGGGTAGTTTTTTTATATGATATGCATATATATGTAGAACAAAGTACACCCTTGTCTTTCTGATTATGCCGACTATTGATCAACACCTCCATTTTCTGTACTTATAGATGGTACGTAACATGTACCCTCGCGCTCGTAGGATGTTCACCAGCGAGTTCCTAGAGTGCACTTGATAAGAGGTATTAAGATATAGCAATCATCTAACATCATATATTCTATTCAAATTTTTTCTGTCTCTTATTTCTGTCCAGTCTGTGTTTATTTTTTAAGTTTTGTTGGTCTCTATTTCTCTTTGTTTTATTTTTATTTTTTTTTTAAGTTTGTCTTACACTACACAGAAAGTGGCATAGAGTTTTGTGAAATTTGTATGTGTATCCATGCGTCATTGTCATGTAGCTGTGTACATCCAAGTGGAAATAGTTCTCAGCAAGATGAAGATAATTTTTTTGATAGTTTTAAAGTACAGCTTCTTGTGATAATATTGGTATCCTCAGGAGTTTCAAAGGTTTTTTACAAAAAAAAAAAAAATAAAAGGTGTACGAATGAGAGCTGAGTGAATGCATAAATTTATTAAATTAGAATGAATGAATATTTGACAAAGGCATTTTTAAATTCTTAAATTTGGCATGTACGAATCTGAAGAGAGGTAAATTAGAAAATTCAGAAAATAATGAATTTATAAAAATTATGTGTAGATTTAAGGATCTAAGTTTGATTTATTATCTTGCATTGTGCATATGGTATATTTATTGGATAAATTAATCAATCTTGTTGCAAAACTTCATATATAAATAAAGTGAGATATCTTATCTGTAAGACACAAGGCAGAAGGGATAATCTATAACTAATAATACTCTTATATAGTTTCTTTCTTTTCTTTCTCGTTTCAAAGATAAAGCTATTTAAAAAAAACTAAGATTTATAAAATATTGATAAAGAATTTTTCTTTAATGACATTTATTTTTTATTGTCTAATAGTCTTACAACCACTACTATATGTTGCTTTATTGCAATATGTAATAATCTGATAATATATAAAAATTTAGGAAAAAATTTGATATATATGCACTGTTAATTACAAATTATCTTGATTTAATTTTTATTGTGATTTTTATAAATATTTGCAATAAGTTCGGTTTAGTTTTAAAGTTTATTTTTATTGTTAATCTTACTGCTATATTACTGTGAGAAGTATTTTTCTGAATTTATAGAAAGCTAAAGAATGATTTTAGTTTTTTTTTGCTATCAAGAGAGCTAAGGTTTGTCTCTAGTAATTGTCAACATATTGCAAACTGTCAAAATGCTACAATTCTCCAGTCTTCCTAGGATACCTCAAAATGTTTTACTTGTAGAGAGTGATTTATATGAGCAAATTAATTTCATAATACATATTTATAAACCCTGTCTACCATTTTTGTGCAACTTGTAATGATAGCAATTTGCCTTCTAGGTAGTGCCATCAATCAGGTATTACAACACTTAATTGTGGTGCAACTGAAGACTCATCAGCTTCAAAACAAAAAAAAACTTTATCTTAGTTATAACTATATTTATTTTATTAAATTCAGCATTCTTAGACAGTTTACAAAATGCCTATTCATGTTCAGTAATTGGAAACTGTTTTACAGTTTTATTGCAATGCAAATTCGAAAAATATTGAAATTGTTCAAAGTAACTTTAAAAAGACAACGTACTAGAATTCTAAACTTGTATTTGAATAATAAATTTGGTCGTTTTCAAAAACTTGGATAGGAACTTTGTAAGCAGTCTATTTTGCGTTTCAAGTTTATTAACAATTTCCATATACAGTAAACTGGTCAAACATACTCCGGAAAACGAAACTTCACAGCAGAACTTGTATTTAAGAAAATGTTTCGAGAAGTTTGTTTCGTTATTCATCAGAAAGAATTTGTTTTGATAATTTGAATAATTTTTAAATGCTTATCACATTCTTGATAAAATTTAACGTATCAACAAAAACGAAAGCAAGATTTTTTCTTATCCAAATTATTAAAAACCAAAACACTATTGTTGTCTGCGTAACATCGCCGGTCAATGTTGACGAAAGAAACATTTTCTGAACTTAGCCAGATGACAAATCGTGTTGCCGAGTGCTCGCGGTTCCATACTGTGAAGAAAAAACTGTGAATCTCTTAAGAAAAAATTCTTAACTAATGAGATAACACATCTTGTCCTGTTCGTAAAAATGCGCGCGGGCAATCGTAGGCTAGCGATTATTAGGGTTGCTCACTCGCGTCTTTCGCGTTTACACTGTTTTGAAATCGTGCTGTCTTTGATGAGGGCTCTCTTTTACAGAAGAAAAAGGATGTGTGGTTGGCCATTGGTAGTTTAAAGACCAAGGCATGCTCAACCCAAGATTGCAATGCTTTCCTAAAACCCGATAAAACGATTGGTAAGTCTGAGCCAGGTGCATGCGACGGAGTCGCATCGCTATGCTCGCCCCGTCTCTCTTTCTCTGTCACACACGCTCTCTCTCTTCTCTCTCATGCTCGCTCTTTTCTTCTTGCGTATTCTTTCCCACGTCCCCGCAGCGCTCCCTCCAAGAACTCGTTAAAAAAAATTTTTTTAAATTTAAAAAAATAACAATTCTGGAAATAAAACCAACCAGAGAAAAGATGAGAAAGAGCACGAGTATTGACGCCGACGTCTGTCCCTGTTATCCAGCGTGTCATTAAAAAGCATTGCTCTGCCGCAGCAAGGAAAGGTTGCTATCGTACTATTTATATTACAGGCGATAGAAAACTAAAAGAGATTTTTCTCATTCTTAATTGTCGTTGAATTTGAAACATATGCGAAAAAAAAAACAAATAAGAATAGAAAAGATAATTTACAATTTGTTATCTATCTGTATATTTTGTATTTTGCAAAAAGACTGTCGTTACAAAATTTACTAATGTTCTACGATTTGCTTTTTGTCCCCTTGTTCGCGCGTCCCTGCCACATCGGCTGGCTGGCATGGCATTCAACTGTTTGCTGTTCGTAGGAGCAGGACTCCTCCTCCAAAGACAAGTCCTCCAAGGAGAATGGGTCTAGTCGGAAATCGTCTGGGTGAGTAGAATCTCTCTTCTCTTTGTTTTTATTTTTATATACTTAACATCTATATTAAAATTTTAATCAATCAAGTAAAGAAAGTTTAAACAGGAACATTTATACGAAACTTTACTTGCACGATTTGTGTTTAAACTGGGAAAACTAAAAACCGCGACTAGGTAATCCTATATCACGCATTAAAACTTAGTCTGGAGGTCTTACCTAAATTACTTGCCATCGACTTGCCATCTCTCGCTTTTTGTCCTCATCACGTAATAAAAAAAAGCAAACATTCTAATCCAAGATTAAGGTGAAAAAGAAAAAAGTTGTTACATTGTTTTTTTTTTCTTGTTTTCACAACACTGTGATGTCACGTATATGATCATATCTTTGCGCCATAACTGAAAGCAGTGTTAGCCACTCTCCTAACAGACCCATCTGAAGTTTTATTCTCTTTGTTATAGACCCCATACAATTAGTAAATGCTGGTTAATTTCATAATACCAAAGGTTCTGACGATGGTAAGTATATAGGAAGAATTATCTGTGCTACATACAGATTCCTCTTGCTGAAGATTTCGAAACGTATGATCTTAACTCTTGTGGATAAAGAGAGTAAATTGCGTTAAAGTTATTCAATTGTTATTGTGCTGTTTCTTAATAACCGAGTCTTAGGAAACTCGATATATATAAAAACAAAAAAAAAAAAGGATAAAAGATGTGCCACATCAAAAAAGATGATAATGTAATTTTAATTTGTAATTTCATTTTGTTAAAAAAGTAATAATGTATTCACTTCAGTGCTCACTTTGCTCATACAAGTTTTGAATATATACACTTATAAGAAGTTTCACATTTCTTTCAAAAATCAAAAACATTAATATCCTTTGAATTACTGAATAAATAAACGAATATAAAAAATATCAAAGATACAGAAAAATGAGAATATATGAGAAATTTCTAGAATATGGACCGTTTATTTTGAAAGTGGTGTAAGTCCATTTTTGAAAAAAAAATGAGATCACGTAATTCATGCTTAATTTAATGTAAATTTTTTATGTATAACTAGTTTACGAAACAAACGAAAATGGACTTACACCACTTTCAAAATAAACGGTCCATATAATTTCATAAACTTGAGAGAAATAAAAAAATTTTAATTTTGAACATAAAGTATCTTTAATCATAAAGTAAACATAAAGTATCTTTAATTATTTCGGCATCATTAAGAACAATTCTTTTATCATTGTAGAATATTATTCACTATATAGCAAATATATATCTTCAACATAAAAGCAATTTAAATTATAGCACTACTTTTTTCTCATGTCAAAAATAAGATATTTTTTATTTTGAACAAACTTGTTTAATTGAAATATTTTTCTCTTATAGGAAAAGCAAACATCGCTCGCGTTCTCGTTCACGATCACGAGATCGCGATCGTCGAGACAAAGATCGGCGGGATCGCGACAGAGACAGAGACAGGGACAGGGACCGAGATCGAGATCGTGACCGAGAAAGGGATCGCGACCGCGACCGCGATCGTCGGCGCAGATCGCGATCGCGAGACAGACGGGACCGGGAAAGAGATCGTGACAGCGATCGGGACAGAGATAGACGAGATAGAGATCGAGATAGAGACAGGAGAAGAAAGCGATCGCTAACGCCTCTGACCCTACCCAGAGCTCGACCGCCGTTCGGCAAAGGTCATAGCCCACTTGGAATGTAAGTTTATCTTCTTTAAGATATTAATTATGTGAGATACAATTATGTTTAAAAGTCGCGATAGCCTCTCTTAACGCCAAGAGCATAAAAGCTACTATTCTGTCGAATAAGAGTTTCTGCACGGACGACAAAGCGACGACAACGCTAATATCTTATTCCGCGAGTTCTTGCTCTAAAAATCTTCGATTTATTAACAATATCTCAAAATGCATAATTTGACTAGACCCAATCATGGACTCGCAATCTGTGATTTTGGGGGAATATTTATGCTAGATTAATTTGAATATTCCTTATACTCGTGTTTCGTCAATGTGAACACATTGTATCATTGATATTCAACAATATCAAATATATAAATCAACAATATCACATTTTAGAACTTCTTTATATTTTGGTTTTTTCATAATGTGTTAATATCTATACTGAAGACATTTATTTACTTTTATAGAAATGACGAATTAACACCAGAGGAGCGAGATGCTCGTACTGTCTTTTGTATGCAGTTGAGTCAACGAATTCGCGCTCGCGATTTGGAAGAATTCTTTTCGAGCGTTGGCAAAGTTCAAGATGTTAGACTTATCACCTGTAATAAAACCAGACGATTTAAGGGTATTGCTTATGTAGAATTTAAAGACCCGGAAAGTGTGACCTTGGTGAGTCTAAATTCGCGTTAATTACAAACGCAATGGTCAAATAATATTTTTTGACGATATATTTTCAAGTTCAGCAAAGTTTTTTAAAAGAATTGAAACAAGCAATTAAACTTTCTTAACTATTTGACATTGTTTTTACAGGCTCTCGGTCTGTCTGGTCAGAAACTTCTCGGAGTGCCTATTGTAGTTCAACACACGCAAGCCGAAAAAAATCGTATGGGCAACTCAATGCCGAATCTGATGCCAAAAGGACAAACGGGACCTATGCGTTTGTACGTTGGATCTCTGCACTTCAACATCACAGAGGATATGCTTCGTGGTATCTTCGAGCCATTCGGGAAAATCGACAATATACAATTAATTATGGATCCCGAAACAGGCCGAAGCAAAGGCTATGGATTTTTAACCGTAAGTCTTTTTACGTCATTATTTCTGTTTCTGTGTTTGTTGATTTTAGTATGATCACGTAAAACTCAAAATATTTGTTATCTCTTTTGTAGTTTAGAAATGCGGATGATGCAAAGAAAGCGTTGGAACAGTTGAATGGATTTGAGCTTGCTGGTCGACCCATGAAAGTCGGAAACGTGACAGAACGAACCGATCTTATTCAAGGACCGTCACTTCTTGACACTGACGAGCTTGATCGTAGCGGTATTGATCTAGGAGCAACTGGCAGGTAAAATAACAAATAAAAAAAAAAAAAAAAAANCAAATCATGATTTATTCTTACATATTCTTGCAGATTACAATTGATGTTTAAGTTAGCGGAAGGCACTGGACTAGAAATTCCTCCTGCGGCAGCAATGATGGAAAACTAGATTGTTTACTTTTGGGTCTATAAAAAAAAAAAAAAAAAAAAAAAAAAAAAAGAAAAAGTAAATAAGTACGTAAGACAAATCATGATTTATTCTTACATATTCTTGCAGATTACAATTGATGTTTAAGTTAGCGGAAGGCACTGGACTAGAAATTCCTCCTGCGGCAGCAAATGCGTTAAATATGGCACCTGTTATGACACAACCACAGCCGCCACCACAAGCAGCTCCTCCCATTGCAACCCAATGTTTCATGTTGTCAAATATGTTCGATCCACAGAAGTAAGTTTCCTTGTATGAAATTTTGACTATTTACAAAATTCGCGTGTTGCATATTAGTAGACCTGATGTTATGTGTGCCATAATTTCATCAGGGGGATATTATATGCTAAATTAAAATGTTATTGTGTTTAAATGCCAGCGTATGTGAACATCATGTGCACTCTTATGATAACATGACAATATTTAATACGTTTTACATAAAACTGATGTAATAATTTTTTCAACAACAACTTAACGCTAAACTTTACACTTTTGTTTTTCTAATAAGCAAGTTACATGCTTTTTTGGGGAGTTAATTGAAAGTAAAATCAAGAAATTTACAACTCAAAAATTTATAATCTCTATCTCGCTATTTTTTTCAGTGAGACGAATCCTAATTGGGCGAAGGAGATCCGCGACGATGTTATCGAAGAGTGTAACAAACACGGAGGCGTTTTGCACGTTTATGTGGATCAGGCGTCGCCCCAGGGTAACGTTTACGTGAAATGCCCGTCGATCGCAACCGCGGTGGCCGCGGTGAATTCGTTGCACGGTCGATGGTTCGCTGGTCGTGTGATAACTGCTGCCTACGTACCGGTTGTGAATTACCACTCCTTGTTCCCAGATGCTATGACCGCGTTACAATTGCTGGCACCAAGCGCGCCGCGAAGAGGAATGTGATAATCTTGAACAAAGCAAACGACCAACAATCCGTTTGATGTGTAAATCACCAAGTAGAATTGCGCGTTCGTCTCTTTCTCACATACTCATCTTGTTTGTGAAGATCGTTCTTATTTTTTGATAAAACGCGAGTAATTCGAACAACAAATTATGACAATTCTGTATGACCGGTTGAGAGATGATTATCATTCACGTCAATTCATCACGCAATTTCATATTTATATTGTAAACTCAACACGTTCGATTCGTTAGTTTACAGCATAGTCATTTGTGTTTTCGTGTTTTCCGTTTGTTTACAATAAGGAATTTTGCGTGTTATTTAAAACCAAATTGCGGTATAAGTGTTTTACAATAGATGCAGATTGTTTCACGCGATTGCAGATTAGTCTTTCGCGTATATAAGTCACAAAATTGTAAAATATGTACCCGGTTCTCGGTCTAAGTGATGTAACATGGGTTTTGCGAATGCGTTTTTGATGATATTCAATCGTAATAGAGTATTTCGTCGTAGAAAATATGATATAAAAAAAGTGCGAAGACTTTAATCCTCTCATCTCGGTAGGTGCAACATACCTCATATTTAAGATACATTTGTACGTTGAAAGTGGAATATTCAAATAAAAAAAAAGAAGATATCAAAAACAATTTCTAGAAAAAAAAAAAAAAAAAAAGAACATTTGATCGCATTCTCTCTATATAACCCGCAGTTACAATGTTTAAAAGACTAAAGACTAACTTAGTTAACTTAAAATCTATTTCTGTGTGTATATTTACATTAGGGACGAAAGGATTAAGGTACGTTACGTGGAAAGGTTTGATGCGTAATGAAAATTTATGGGCACACACACACACACACATTAGATTTGTTATATTTATACGGAGAGGTGAGAAAAAAGATGTGCGAGACAGAGAAAGGGGTCTGCAAATACTGGACACAGTTCCGGAACGAACGTATTGATATATACACAGTGATGTTACATTTATATATACTCTGATATATTTTATAAATAATAAATATAATATAACAATAACAGTAGAAATTTGAGGACAGAAATAAACTTTCAGTTTCCGTGTAACAAAACTGATAAAAGCATTGCGTAAGTTTAATACTAAATAGACTTGGAATAATCGGTTAAAAGCTAAGACAAAAAAAAAAAAAAAAAAAGTGAAATGTCGCACGCGATTAACGAACACTCTGATATTTGCTTCTCAATAATCGTGTTTGGAATAAAAATTGTTCGTTTAGATAAGAGAAATGTTCTGAATTCTAATAGCGAGTAGCAAAGTAGGAAATTTGAAAGTCAAGAGCCTTACTTGCAGACCTCTAATAAAACTGAGCCCCCGTCAAAGAGGAAGCAAATCTGTATATAAGTTTTTGTAAATTAATTCTACTTATATAAACATAATAATGTCACTTTTTGCTGTATCTTCGTATGTCGAATTGTGAATGTATACTTCGATGATTATAAACGAAATTATATTATAACGCAAGTGAAATGAAGGATCTGTTCTAGAATATAGAAACTTATTAAATGCGTAATGTGAAATTTTAGTGTGTAAAAAGTTTCTTATTATTATTATAATCTGTGATTCCATGTTTCTTGTTCTAGAACAAGAACCCGATATTATTTTCAACACAACCTGCCACCTGAAGTATCGAAACATTTAATGGGCCCAATAATACATTTTTTGTATCTCAATATATATTGATTATATGTATATATATTGATATACAAAACAAAAGTCTACTTGAAATGCGATAAATAAAATTGTGTTTATTGTTTTATATAAAATTTCAGTTAAATTTCATATAAATAAATCAATATAATATTTACAAAAACTGTGTATTAACTTTTACACAATTATGTGCGGAATAAACAATTCCAATTATTAATAGTTACATTTTCAAATTGCGTCAATGATCATACATTTCTGTAACAGACTCGTCGATAGTTTGATGAATTTGCAAATATGTGCGAGCTACAGTTTTTAAATATTACATTTTATTACACTAGATATACAAACTCTGTACAAATGCCGCTTGACATTACACATTTGACAATTTTGATTATTTTTATCCTTTCAATTTTAAATCAACACACAAAGATACGTGATCGCTTGGAAGTACAACGGACGGCAAACCTGTGTGAAGAATAATCTCTTCCTTACTGGGCATCGGAACTACCTGCTGCACTTCGAATTTGTCTTTCTCGTAAAATATGTAATCTAAACAACCGGAAAACTCCGGTGTGTAATTTGTGTACTCCGGTGTACCGCAAGCGCTAGACATGGAAAGATCTTGTGTCAGAGAGATATTGTCTACGGCTTCTTCGGGATCTGAAAAAGAATTTGTTATCCTGATAATAACAAATTATCTTAGTCACGTAATAGACGCGCAATTAAATTAAAATTGTTTTTAAATTAACAATTATATACGAAATCACTCACTGCTCTTCCAATCTTCGCAGGTTTCCGGTACAAAATTTTCAGTCATTAACTGATAAACACCGCATTCCGGTGTGCTGTTAAAGTCTCCGCAAAGCATCGCGCTCACGTTACACTCTGGGTTCTGTCAAAACGTAACATAAAAAAACTTGTCAGTATATTAATACAAAATAAATTTATAATACGCAATGATTTTCAGAAATATCAGTATGGTTTGTTTTCTTAATGTTTATCTCTCTTTTTTCTGACATAATAAAAGTTGTACCTGTTCTCGCGTCTTCTTCGCCACTTCATTTACGTATGTAATTACGTAATATCCTTGTAACAAACGTATGTGATCCGCATCCGGTTTAAAATACAAATGCGTGTTGCCGATGACAAAAATTTCAGAAGGATTTTCTTTCGATCGTAACGTCGTTACCTAAACCGTCACTAAATTTTCATCTCTTCCACGATTTACTAAATGTAACATCGATAGAAAACTGATCGATTATTCAAATACCTGAACGGTTGTGTTTCTGGCCAAAAACCTTTCCTTCGTCTTCTCATTTTTAATCTTAGACCAAACCTCCGCAAATCTCGGAAAATCTATATTCCGAGACATTACAGTGAATTCGTATCCTATTTTCTCGAGTCTGTCTTGATAGAAAAACGTGGCAAGTCCCTCGCTGATTTCGTTTTTCGTGATGAACGTACCGTCGTAATTCAACATGTTTAACGACGGCAATAGGTCGTGCTCGTACACACTTTTATCTACTTCTTGAAGACAAATTATGTCGCTATTAAATCCTGAAAACAAAATTAATCTATGTAAAAGATCTTTCACAAAATTATTTGAATATTTTATCTTCATTATGTGTAAAATATTATACACACAAATGTTTAATGTATACCTATTATTTCTTTAAGTATTAATTGCTTTCTATAGTCCATATTTAACGCATACGATGGGCAATATGGGAATAATACATCCTTGGAAAAATCGGAATCGGCGTATGTATCTGCTAATATATTGTACGACATTATCCTGAAACTAAATTCGTTGTTTTTTTCGTAAATATACAACTCGACACTATTTCCCCAATGTCTCATATTTATTACGACCTTTGGATAATCAATATTTCATGAACTAATGCTGACGCTTGCGAGTAACGTACCTTCTATCAGATAATCTGTGTTTCGTAAATTGATGTCGAGTGTCGAACGGACATTCTCCAGGCCCGGCTTCGACAACGTTCTTCGACTCTACTTCTATTGTGTAACCAGTATCCGTCTCGTTTCGTGGTTCGCAGGAGATCTTCAAGTTGCAGCCAATGTCAGAAACACTTGGCGTGTAGAAATATCCCTTACCTACTTCTGTCCACACGTTCAGCTTCTTGTTGACAACGTCATTTCTGTACCAAGTGAAAACTGATTGCTTCTTGATGGTGAACAATGACTCAAACTTGGCTGGATAAGTTGGGAAACCCACCAGCATGCTTGACGGCAATGCAACGTTAATAATATAAGGTGCGTTCCTTTTTATTAAAAATATCTTTTCAAAAATAATGAGCTTGAGCTCTGAGGAATCTTTAAGAAGACTCTCACACAACACGTCGCCATCTACTTTGACGTCATTCTTGAGAAGCTTAATTTTTCCTGTTTCCACGCTGTCATTTGATAGACCAGACAATTCCACAGTAGCGTTCTTTTTCCTCTTTCTTTCTATCTGTAAAAGAAACATTTGTTTGTTTTTTTTTTCTGTTCGATAAATGATATTTAAAACTGTTTTTTCAGATTTTTTACACAAATAATTTTAAATATGTTGAGCTATTACATGTTATGTTCACATGTATGTGTGCGTGCTTTTGTATCTTCCCCACCTTTTTGTTTACAATCTTGGAAACGTTTGTTTCAATTCTCTTCAGAAAAGTATTTACACTTTCCGCGGCTTGTCTTGAAAAGTTGAATTGCCGGTCGACTTTCTTCTCTTCGTCCGCATAGCGAAACGTTATGTCGAACATTTTGCTGTCCTTCTCGTAACGGAGAAATGCCTCGTTCATCTTCAACACGTGCCTCGTTTGCGCGTGTCGGCTGCGAAACGTAACGAGAACCGTCGAGGCAAGATGATTTCTGTATACGAGCAATTTAGATACAAGTACACTTCGCATTATATTTGTTCTCGGGTCGTTCGATCTGGAAAGAACAGTTCTCAACAACAATTAATTTGTTCAAGAATCAATTTTTAAACAATTAGCACGTGAACGAGTAAATTTTAAACGCGTGAAGATGACGAGTTTAAGGTTATAACATACCTACCTTGAAACACATGTATGCAATTCTTGTTTTCTTTTTTTGAAAAAGAAATATATCTATTCTTTTGGAAATATATATCACTGATTTTCGGTTCTAAACAATAACTGTTGTTTTTAGTTGATTCGTACACAGATTTACATACGTATGTATATATTGTACATATACACGTTTACGTACAAATGTATCCGGAAGTTGAAACTTTATAAATCTTTGCCATTTTTATTTTGAACTTTGTCGAGAATATAGTATCCTGCATTTAACGATAAGTGGTATTAGAGATTTATACAATTGCATATGTACCAACAGGCAAATCAATTGACCATTCGTACAGACCATAGTACAATAAACTATCACTAGATGACGCTACATGTACACGCGCATGTGGAAAATAGAAAATACTGAGCGAACTATAAATATGGAACATTTTTTTTTTTATGTAAACGAATCACATTTTTTTACATATTTCAGTATATTTTTAATTTTGCGCGAAAGCTCTTTTTTTTGGTCCGGTCTTAATCTATAGTATCACAAAATAATATAATAAGCCAATTTTCTATATTTTTGCTTTATTCCTCTAGTTTCTTATCTTTATCATTTTCCAGTTTTATTTCTTCGCGTTTCTCTGACTTTTCGTCTTCCAGTTTTGCCGAGTTCTTCTCTTCAACTTTTTCTCCAAATATCTTCGATTCCTCTTGTTCTACTCTTGTTTCTTCATTTTCTTTTGATCTCGTTTCCTCTTCAGCTTGTTGTTCCACTTTCATTTCTTCATTTTCCTTTAATTTCGTTTCCTCTGATTTTTCCGATTTTGTTTTCTCACGTTTTCCCGAGCTCGGATTCGATACCGCGTCCTCACTTTGTGACTTCGTCTCTTCGCATTCTTTCGATTCATCATGTTTTTCCAACTTTGTTTCCTTGCTTCTTTCTGACTTCGTATCGTCGTCTTTCGCAAACTTTGTTTCTTCTTCCGTTGCGGATCTCTCCTTGACTCTCTTCTCCTTAATCTCTTTCTCCGCTTTTCCGTCCAATCGTTCCGCTCTTGTTCGATATTTCACGGTCACGCACGATGGTACTTTTCTTTTAATCAGCTTTAAATTAATTTCAAATTTAATCGCACTCGACACATACATCGCTATAATTTATTTTAATCTCATTATCCGCCTTACCTTACGGGGTAATATTTTTTTTCTCGCTCCGGCGATTTGTCTGGTAATTATATTTTGGTCCCAGGTACGTTTCTCTCGCCACCAAATTCGCTGATAGTCGTTGGCGAGCAACTGCTCCATACAAGGTTCGCATCTACACACACACACACGAAGAACAGCAAACACGACATAAATTTATATCGGTATATTTGTTTAAAAGATATACCGCAAAAATTATTTTTTATTTAATTTTATCAATTCCGGTTGATACTTTTTGTCTAATCAAGCTGATTGATCAATTATCAACCTCGTTGCTGTTAGTAAATTTTGTTAATTAATGAGATAACCCATTAATTAATTAATGAGAAAATATAGAGTAAAATTCGCTGCATTATATGCACGCATTAGTATCTGTTTGCATCACCTACTTTTCGTAAGAGGGCACGAAATGTTTCGTGTTGGCGTAATCGGAGGACACGATGTTGTCCGGGATTTTGTGGGGAACCGCGGGAGTCCAAGTTCGCAGTCGCGACGACACTTCCATGATTCGCCTCAAATAAGGACGCGCCCTTAGATCGACAAAAGAGGGCGCTCCGTTCGCGTATTCCCGCGCGTCGCGGGATTGACGACGATTTCAACGACGATTTCGTGTCTCGCGCGAATTTTTCTCGGAAGATTTTCTCGACGACAGTTTTTCTTCGCCAAGGTTATCGCGTAGGTAGGATGGGGAACGAGCTTGACAAATGCGAAGCGATACGCGCGGATTCTCGATGTGCGTCGTCGAGTGCGCAATCGCGATCGTCAATCAAAATCAAAAGTCACATTTGCCGATCTGCACAATGGCGTCGACAAGGTACGCTCTCATTCTGTAAAAATGGCGAACAGATCCGATCCTTTGCGATCGCGTTGCCTTCGAAATGAAAATGTAACATGATACATGCGGTAATTAAAAAAAAAAAAAATATATACATTATGCACGTATGTACATAGTTCTGTGCTATTTCTGTGCACGCCGTTCGTTACGCGGTCAAGACGGAAGTTCGAGTCGCGCGTTGTTTCGCACACTGATCCTTTTTTGATCCTTCGAATTAGTACCGCGCGCGCCGGCATTATCGCTAATTATAGAAAACGCGTGCCAAGAGCGTTAGTCAAGTGTGTATTCGTAACAAGAGCGAGTTCGGTCGGGTTCAGGTTGCGTGCATTGGCCGTGAACGTCGACGTCGGTATTAAATCCCGCCGGGGGTTTTAGTACCTTCACGCATGAGCGTGCACGTAAAGCTTGGGAGAGAGCCCGCTTGTGTTCCGCGATTTTTCAAATGTCCTTTTATTAGAGAGTTAGTTAGTGCCAATTTTGTTTCACACACGTACCTACGTGGTGTGCTGCGCGTACGTCGCGCGTCACCAATCTGAAACGTAAACACGATGATGTAAATCCGACGATCGTTTCATAATGCGGGATAATTCGAAGTAACGACGGCAATAGTTGTTCCCGTCACACACACACGCATCGTCATACGCATTATATAAATAGTTATGACTTTTCATTTTACAATCTGCAAAACCATGCGTATACTTGAGCATCAAGGATGAAGCTTTTAAAATTGTGACACATAAAAAATCTAAAAATGCATTTTCCATCATATTTTCTGTAATTGCGGAACTTAGCGTCTCCACGTGTGTGTGTGTGTGTGTGTGTGTGTTAACGACGTGATGTGGCCTGAATTGAACAGATCTCGAGATATGTAATTGATTATGTAAGAGCGCGAATAAAAAATTAAAGCGAAAATCCGGCCGATTAAAGTAAAAAAGTTTCTTTGATTTCAGATGGGAACTTAACATTGAGTGAGAAAATCGATTACATCCTCTCTTGTGTTCATCTGAGTAGCATCGCCGGCAGCAGTCACAGTTTGGATCCGAATAACGTATCTGCGGCAATGTGAGTACGTTTTACATACGTACAATTTTTTTTCGCCATTTTGCGCTTACATAATTGTTCGTCGAGAAAGTCCACGCGACGAAACCGAAAGCAGTCCTATGACGAAAAATATATAAGGAAGGACGGAGAGAGAAAGAGAGAGAAAGAGAGAGAGAGAGAGAGAGAGTCGAAGAACGCAAAATATAACGAGATACAATCACGAAGGACAGTTGTGTTCATGCTAATGAATTTTTTTCGCCTCGCATTGATGCTAATCGTCACTATACGCGTATTACGTCGCGTGTGTGCGCGTGCATGCGATATTGCGCGTGTGTCTTTATTAAATCGTTTGGCCAAGCCACACCCGTGGCGCGAAATCAGGGACAATCTTCAAGTTCGGTATTTTTACATACACCGTCGCCCAAATTCCATTTCGTGAATCGAAAGAGAAAAAGCGATTTAATTTCAAGCTCGATTGTCACCGCTGATCTCGCGCGAGATATCTTGTTGCTTTATTCACCGGGTGTAATTGCTTCTCTTTTTCCGTCACATTGCAGTTATCTTTTCCCAGCTTGCGTTATTGCTTACTTGCATTTGTTCTTCCTATTTTGTTTCCGCATTATATATTTCGCGCACATAAGAATTTTTTATTAATTTTAATATTTGCGCGTTTTGATATATTGCAAATAACATTTATCGTGTACTTTATTATGTTCACACAATTATCAATCATATAGTTTCTATTGCACTAGGATACAACTCGGTCATTTTTTTACGGAGAATTTTTTTCACATTGTACAAGGGGTGCGCGACCCAAATTCTATTTGCAATCACATTCACAGACAATGCGCGGCCAAGTGTTTCTTTCTTTTTTTTTTTTTTCCTTTTTTAATTTATCGCGACGTCGGGATCGCGAAGGAGATTTCTCGGCGTAATTGCGCTCCGCTTTAGTCGCGTTTTTTAATTGCTTTTTTTTTTTTTTTATCGGCTTCAGTCGAGTTGCACAATGTCGCTCTCTGGCACACGGATCTCCACGCACGCACGCACGCACGCACGCACGCACGCACCGCACGCACCCACAAAATTTGCATAAAGGATATCATGTTCCACGGCCGGAATAAATCTGGCCCACGACCCGCATAATCCCCGACGACTTTCTGGCGGCCGTCGTGTGGCTTTGTAAACAGCTTTGATATGCAAAACCATCACGTTTTCGATCGGCTACACATTTGAGATAGATAAATTTTTAATTTGAACATTCTGGATGTCAATTCCGGAACGGATTTGAGCTCGTGATTGACGTTCTTCTTCCTCTCCTTCTTTCTTTTCTCTCTGCGATCGTCGCGTACTGCGTTGCACCGAAATCAGATTTGACGTTCATTCAAATCTCATTTGCAAAAGCAAATTTTTAATCGAGCTTTATCTTTGCGTCGTGTCTCGAATTTTGTTTAAGAAGATTTCTCGATTGTTGTTCGACTCGTTGGAAAACTCAAGAAAAATGATTTCATTTACTGTTAAATAAAATATTTCTAAAAAGTGTAATAAAATAGACGAAAAATTATAGAAGAGAGACGAGAAAAACAGTATTGGCAATTTTGTTTCGCAGCGCGAAATCGCATCTTATTCAGGTCAGGTCGAGCAATCACAGGTGACGCCGAAAACTTCGCCGTCATAAATCAGGCCATGCAAATTAAGAGCAGATTTATATTAAGTACACATTTTGTTGGGACGCGAAACTTCTGGAAGGGACGCGCGTGTGTGTGTGTGTGTGAAAAAGAAAGAGAGACTTCGAAAGAAAATCGAAAGTCCGTCGGTGCAGCGTGCGATATATGCGCGGCGCCAGCTGAGCGTCAGTGATTGGAGGACCGGGCTGGGTGGACGACGACGGGTTACGTGATTTGGCAAATTACTTCGTATCTGGTTAATTAATGAGAAAACGTATATATCTCGAGCGTCGCGCGCACAGGTGCGCGCAGCTGCGCACGTCGCGGGCAGATGCGCGTCCCGTTGCGCGGCCGGGATTTTTTATTTACTTCTGCCATTTAAAATGTCGTGATTACGGGCGAATAGCAAAAATCTGGGTCAGAGAAACTCGCGGACCGCTCTCGTTTTCGTATCTTTCCCTTTTTTTCTTTCTTCTTCAATTTTTTTTCTTTCCCTTTTTATTTTTATTTTTATTTTTTTTTTTTACTGCCTCGGGAGAAGCATCTGGCGGCAATAATAACGAACAATCTCGTATGCAAATGCAAACTCGACGCGGCTTCCTTCTTCTTCGCGCGCGGCGACAAATCGAAAGTGACTTTTACCGCGAGCTCGCGATAACGTTGTAACAAAAAAAAAAAAAAAAAAAATGCGGGCGTCGCGCACAAAACGATTCAATGGCCGACGTCGCGTAGCCTAAACAAAGTTAGATCGAGATTCGATCGCTTTTAGAGACTGGATTGCTTTTACGATTGCTTTATAGATTCGATCTTGCTACTTTGTATTTCCAACAACCTCGCGACGCGGTGGCAATGATCGTTCGTCACAACGAACTCAGGGGCACGGTCGTTTACGTAATCAACTACTTCGTTACTCTCCGCGAGAGATTAATCGACTCGGTCTGGTTCTACAGGCGCCTGCGGGAACCTCGGCTCACAAGTAAGAATCTTGGATCCTTGAGTCGGATTGAAAAAAAAAAAAAAAAAAAAAAAAAAAAAAAACAACAAACCACGCCTGAAAGATATTTAAAAACTACGTTATTAAAAGTTTCTTATTTATTTGTGATAGTCGATCTGATTAAAACGCGCGCGCGCTCGCGATAACGGTTCGGTAATGCACAACAACAGTTTCCGTTGGAGAACGTGATTCACGATCCGCAGAGATCGAGGATCTGCACGTACCTATACATATTACAGACAGATCCGACGGTCTTGTACTTATTGCGCAACTGGTTGCGCTATTTCAAAACGCCGATATATAAACGGGAAGGGAGAGAGAATCTTTACGGCGCGCGCGGAGACGAAGAAAAAGAAGACGAGGAAGAAGAAGCTCGAGTGAACGTGAGATATTGCAGAAGCGAGCACCTGCGCGCGAAGACGTTCACCGCGCGCATACTACGTGCGGCACGCGATCTATCGATATCGACCGATAACGATATCCTTTGAAGAAAAACGTCGTTATAGAATTCGCCCGGGTCGCAACGGGGAAACGATCGTTGCGCAATTTTTTGTTGCAATTCCTCTCCCAGCTCGCGGTTTTAACAAAGTCGTGTATATATACACGACGATAATCGGTTTTCTTTTACTCTTCAAAGTGCTTCGAAAATTACGGACGATCTCGTAGAGATATAGATAAGTATCCTTTCGGATTTTCTCCTCTCGCCAGAGACGATGTAGACTCGATAACGCCGCGCGATATAGACCCTCGATAACGGGAGAGAGATCTCCCGTAAGGAATTAATCTCCGGGGGGGAAGGACTGGGGAGAAAAAGCACAAGAATCTCGGAGTTTGTTGAGACAAAAGACCAGAAGAAACGAATCTCCGCCGGGAGAATTCGAAGGGATATTGATCTCCTCAGAGATATCCGTCTCTGTCTACGAACTTCGAGAGTTCTCTTTTGCGCTTTTTCCCCAGACTCCTTCTCCCGAGAGATTAATTTCTTCCGAGATCTTCGTTATCGGGTCTATATCGCGCGGGAGACCGTGCAAATTGTCCCGTCGCATTGTAACGCGCACGTACCCGCGCGGAGCCTTTCACATCGTCATTCAGATGAAAAAAAAAAAAAAAAAAAAAAGAGAGCTCTTCAGATGAAATCGAGCGA